CTCTTTGTCCCCATCTGCATGCAATGGGCCCCTCCTACACTTTGGTCCTTGACTGTGACATTTGCCCGGCAAGCACGTGGATGCCCCCAGGGGGGTGTGGCTGAGGGCCAGACACTGCGCTGGTGCTGATTGAGACCTGAGTTCGAAACCTCACAGCGGACTGTTTTCCCCTGAGGGAAGAAAACTCTGCAAGGAAAGGGGACTTGGGACAAAGAGGGGACAGAGACTGCAGGCCAAGGGACATCCAGGGGACACCCTGCTCTCTGTATCTCAGGGCAACCTGGTAGCTCAGAGGTCACAAAGCTCCTCCAAGGTCATGGGCGGGCGGCCGCAGACCCCACCTGCACAGGCGCCCAGCGCGCCACCTCCTTGTCCCCGCCGGAACTGAGTGAAAGCGACCGGGGCCACCTTGAGGGCCAGAGCCAAGGATCCCATGATGGAGAGATCCAAGCGATGGCAGCCAGCTCTGGGGGTCCTTCGAGACCTTCTGAGGGTCCCGGGGGGCAAGGCTGGGGTCCGCAGAGCAGAAGCCAAGGCTGCTGGATGAGTCTTCACATGATGGGGTCAAGTTCAAGGCTGCCCGTATGTTCGATTATCTTGGAACTATGGGGTCCACTCCCTCTGCACCCGGCCGGTGGGTGGCTCCCCCGCCAGGAGGGACGCGGCACCCGCAGCCTCCTGTTCCCTCTACCAGCCCTGGGGCAAGGGCATCCTCTGGTCACTTCTGGTTATGTGTCCAGGATGGCCCCACGCAGGACACACGGGTTCACAGGACGCTGCTGCCAACCCAGTGCCAGGGCCAAGGGTGCGGGCGGGGGGCAGGGCACATTCTGCCGTTGCTACACCAGGCGCTGGTGTGGGCAGCAGGGGTGGGTGGACGATCTCTGGGTGGCCATGGCCTTTCTGAAGGAGGCTGGTGGTTTCCTAAGAGGGTTTCCTTTACACCACGTGGGATGCTGCACCCCCACATCAGAGTGCCGGGTTCGAGTCCTGGCTCTGCTCCCCATTCCAGCTCCCTGTTCACGCGCACCTGGGGAGGCAGCAGGTGACGGCCCAAGCAGCCGGGCCCCTGCCACCCACACGGGAGACAGGCATGGCGTTCCCAGCTCCTGGCTTCCATGTGGCATTCGGGGAGTGAACCCGTGTGTGTGTGTGTGTGTGTGTGTGTGTGTGTGTGGTACGTGACTCTCCCTTTCAAATACAAAAGTGGGGGACAAACAGGAGCTGTGGGTGGGGAAGGGGCCGGGGAAGACTCAGCTGCAGCTGCCCGAGGACCTGACTCGGCCCTGGCGCTTCCTTCCCCTCCCCGGCGGCCTTGGCCTTTCCATCCTTGCAAAACTCCAAGAGCCAGACCGCTGGCCCCGCCCTGCCCACAGGCCCCACTCACACCCCTGCCCCGCAGAAGGGCAACAGGCAGAGACGCTGATGGCTCTCGTCTGAACTTACCATGACCTCTGCCAGCGGGGTTGCAGCCCTCGGGTCACGTAACCGTCCAGCTAGGAGACGCCTGCACCCCTCGTCTCATCCCAGTTCTGCTGCCCCAGGAGACCCAAGGTGATGGCCCAAGGGCTCGGGTCCCGCCCTGCCACCGGGTGGGAGACCGGGATGCAGCTCTAGGCTCCCAGCTTCCGAGGATGGCAGCTCTGTCTCTTGAATTAAACAAAACAAAACACTGGGGTCCGTGTTGTGGCGCAGATTAAGCTACTGCCTACAATGCCAGCATCTATAGGGATATTGGTTCGAGTCCCGGCTGCTCCACTTGCAATCCAGCTCCCTGCTAGTGCGCCTGGGAAAGCAGCGGAGGATGGTCCAAGAGCTTGGGCCCCTGCACCTGCGTGGGAGACCCGGAAGAAGCACCTGGCTTCAGCCTGGTCCCATCCCGGCTGCCGTGGCTGGCATCTGGGGAGTAAACCAGGGGGTGGCTACTCTCTTTCTCTAACTCTGCCTTTCAAACCAATCAATCTTTAAAAAAAGATACAAAGGTGAAGAAAGGAGGGAATATATAGGAGAAAGGTTTTTTTTTTTTTTAAAGGGGAGAAGATAGAATTTGTTTAGCCTTGATATATATATATATATATATATATATTTTTTTTTTGACAGGCAGAGTGGACAGTGAGAGAGAGAGAAAGGTCTTCCTTTGCCGTTGGTTCACCCTCCAATGGCCGCCAAGGCCGGTGCACCGCGCTGATCCGATGGCAGGAGCCAGGTACTTCTCCTGGTCTCCCATGGGGTGCAGGGCCCAAGCACTTGGGCCATCCTCCACTGTACTCCCGGGCCACAGCAGAGAGCTGGCCTGGAAGAGGGGCAACTGGGACAGAATCTGGCGCCCCGACTGGGACTAGAACCTGGTGTGCCGGTGCTGCTAGGCGGAGGATTAGCCTAGTGAGCCACGGCGCCGGCCCTAGCCTTGACATTCTGACATGTGAACGGCAGATCCTAAGCAGTTAGCAAAATGATAAGACTTCTAGTTACCTGTCCCTGGGACGGAGAATCCCCCGCCCCGGTGGGCGCTAACAGGAAGTGCTCACTCTGCCTCTGACCCTCTCAGGGAGGTGATCGGTGCTGGTCACCTTCATTCCCCCACTTCACAGATTAAATCATTGAGGCAAAGAGCAGCAGCTAGGTTGCCAGAGCTGGGGCGTGAGCCCGGGGAAGCCTGAACCCTTGGCCTTGAACCCTCTGAGGGGTCTTCCAAAGTGCATTATGGAAAAGCTGTGTGGATTTCCAATGACTTTTTGCACCAAAGACTTAACCTTTGAACTCTATTTTCTGTGAACTTAAACCTGCAGCAGCCAGGGCTGGGCCAGAGGAGCTTGGCACTCATCCGGGTCTCCCAGGCTGCGGCCCCGCTGCCTCCACTACCTCCCAGGCCCTCCAACTAGGATCGCAGGTGTCCCGAGACGCCCGCCCCTTCGGCTCCCATGGGAGTAGTGGTGACTGGGTGTGGGGGGCTCCCGCAGGCAGGAGGGGAGCAGGGGCTTTCCCAGTGTGGCCCCGGGACCCGGCCTCTCTCCAGATGCCACCTTCTGCACCCTCTCAGACCGCCTGGCCTTTCCCTCCACCAGGAATTCCCCAAGGCTGGGCAGTGCACACAGGGTGCATGGGCCCGGAGCTGCCGTCACACCAGGAGGCCTGCCCAAGGTGGCTTCTGCGGTACGTGTCATGTCAGGGCCGGGCACCCGGGGCTGGGACAAGCCGGCTCCCTCCCTCCGTCTCTCTTGGAGAACCCAAGCCCCTCCTGCTGCCCCTTCTTGAGTGACTAAAGCCCAGATCCCCCCAGGCAGGCTGTTGTAGCTTCCTGGGCCGGGAGGTGCGCCACCTGGCCTCAGTGTTCTCATCTGCGAAATGGCACTAATGACTGTTCGTGAGCCACGTGCCAGGATGGGCAGATGCTGGCGGTCCTCAGACGCAACCTGGGCAGGGGCTGTCCCCAGGGGGCCGGGGAGCACAAAGTGGGAGGAGGGGAAGGCAGGCTAAGGAGTCAGGCAGTTTCCTGCTCCTGAATGGGGAGGGGGTGCACTGCAGTGGGGCAGTGTGCGGTGGGGGACTGGGGGACTTCCTGGACAAGGTCAGGCTGATGGGGTGGGGGTGGAGAGGAGAGGCGGCTGCACCTGTCCCCTGTGCCCTACAGCTTCTGGAGGTGACCCTGTGGGTCCTCGGTGGCTACGGGCGGGAGGATGGGCACTCTCGAGCCAGGGCCCCTGCCTGGCCCGGATGCGCCACCACACAGCAGTTGTTTCAAGCTTGCCAACCCCAGCCCAGGCTGGCATCCAGTGGTGAGCCCCGCCCCCGGGGGGATGTGGGGACTGGAGGGAGTCACCCAGGAGGGAGCTGGCTCTCCCCCAGGGGAGATGGAGGACAGTCCCCGAGGCACAGGTGGCTCCGAGGGTGCAGAGCAGCTTGGGGGGGGGTTCCCCGCTTGCCCGTGCCGCTGGCCTTTCTCAGGCGGCGGCCACGCTGGGGCAGAGGCCCGGGTCTGGCACAGGCAGTGTGCGGCCCCGTGAGCTCTCACGAGCTCCCACGCAGCAGCAGGAAGCCACTGTGTCTCTGGGGAGGGAGCCGGGCAGGAAGAGGAAGGCTTTGGCCAACAGGCACCGTATCACGGCTGGCTCCGCGAGGACACTTCCTCAGAGCGAGCCCGCAGGCAGGTGTGTGCGCCGGGCAGGGCGGGGAAGCCCAGGCCACCAGGCCTTGTTTTTTGACCCAGTTCCCAGCATGAGAAGGGCCCGGCCCCCCTCCCGGGGCCTCTGCAGTGCAGCGGGAGGGCAGGGGTCCTGAGGCTCACATTGGGACCACACCCGCAGGCGCAGAGACCTGCTCAGTGCAGGGAAGGGTGGCCCCCACCAGTGCCAAGTCCCAGCCGTGCCCAAACCTCACCCCGTGCCCCTGGGACAGGCACGGGGCGGGGCGCCGGCCGGTGTCTCCTCCAGGCCACGGCGGGGGCAGGGCCGTCCGCTCACCATCCACGGCTGGGGTCACAGGGCTGGGGTCACAGGGCCGCGGTCCCTAAGGAGCCGGCATGATGGGCCTGCGGGCTTCCCCCAAACCCTCCCTGTGGTGTTTTCCAGAGAGGGTGCTGAAGCCACAGGGCGGCCATGGGCCACGGGCCACGGCACCAGGCACCCGTGGGACAGCTGGGCTGGGCAGGCTGACTTGTGTCTGTGTGTGTAACACCTGCTCCCCAGCACTGGGTGTGCGTGTGTAACACCCTCTCCCCAGCACCGGGTGTGCATGTGTGTGTGTGTAACACTCTCCCCAGCACTGGATGGCTGTGTGTGTGCAACACCCTCTCCCCGGCACCGGGTGTGTGTGTGTGTGTGTGTGTGTGTGCAACACCCTCTCCCCGGCACCAGGTGTGTGTGTGTGTGTGTGTGTGTGTAACACCCACTCCCCAGCCCCCAGCCGACCAGGATCCCCGCAGTGGCCTCCCCTGGCACGCACCTGCCCGCCCTCCAGGAGAGAGCAGGCAACGTGGCCTCAGAAAGAAACGCGTTCGTGTGTGAAAGGCATGGATGGATTTTATTTATTACCCTATATCTACAATTTAATTTGAGGTAAAATATAAGCAACACATAAAAATGCCTATTTCTGCTACCATGTAATAGAATTCTCCGTGGTGGATATTGTGGTAAAGCTACTGAAGACTACGCCACGACGCACTCCAGCGGCGCTGGCGGCCCCGCCCCGCCCCGCCGCGGCCCACGCGCGCACGCACGGAGCCCTCACGCTCCCCGCGGGGCTTCCTTTCACGGTGACAAAGAACACAGGGGCCATGAGAGACAGCCCAGGAAGAGGTTTCGTCAAATATACAGATACTAACTGTTCACCCAGCGCCGCGGAGCGCATCGCGCGGATTTCTCAAATAGAAAAACTAAGGAGTGAACTAGCACAGGAATTGTCTCCACTGCGGAAGCTGAGATGTTCCAGGAGGAGCTACCTTCGCTTGATTGGACAATCAACCCCACGGCCGCGGGCTCTGCCGGACAGGCGGACAGGCGGACAGCCGGCGGCCCGGCCCTGCCGTCTTCCCAGCATCGCTGCAAAATCCTTATAATACATTCCCGAGTAAAGCAGCCGGTCCAAATCTACAGTCACTCTGCCTTTGATTCAATTCACAGAACTGCTGAAAAAGTAGACATTTCTATCTAAAAGTAGAAAAGAAGGTTTGTATAGAAGGTATTTCTGTTATACAAGTATATTACACGGCGTGGGCGTGGGCGTGGGCGTGGGCGTGGGCAGCGACCGCTCCGCGCAGCTCCTCCGCCACGGCAGCCCGGGCTGAAACGGGAGAACAGACAGCGGGCACAGGTCAGGCCGGCCTCGGCCGCCCGGGCCCTCGCCACGCGCTTGGGAGCTGAGGCCCCGGAACGCAGACCGCGAGGCGAATCCCGGGGCCACCCGAGTCTCCGCTGGCAGAGTGCGTGGTTAAGCTCCAGGGCAGAGCCCACGCGGACAGCCCAAGTGCTGGCGGGGGGGGGGGGGGGGGGTGTGTGGACAGGGCACGGGGATCCTGTCTCTGATTCTTGCTTTAGTGCCGCCCCTCCCGCTAATAACACGGCCAAGTCCCAGCCGCCCGGAACAGGCCCAGAGGTGCAGACTGCAGGTGCCACTGCGCCCACGCCAAGACAGGCAGTGAGGACGGGGAGTCGGAAACTGCCCACCAGGGCCCACCCCCACCCCACCAGGGCCCGCCCACCCCTGGACCCACCCCCACCCCGAAACAGGCAGGCGGCTCCGGCGCGTTTACCCGAGGACTAGCAGGTCTACCACGTGGGCTCCGGCTCCTGCTTGATCTGAGAGCTTCCGTCGGCCTCTTTGACTTCTGGCAAGAACAGAAGCGCCCGATTAACCGCACCACCGACCGCGAAGACAGGACCGGCAACCACACTGGACTGTAAACGGAACGCTCCCCCAGCGCCGGAATGTGCGCACCCCGCACCCTCCCGCGGTCCTAGCAGCTTCCGGCTTTCCCAGAGGGCTCTTACCTTCCGAGGCCGGGGCCTCCAGCTGGCTGGGCTCGGCCGATTCTAAAGGCAAACACAGAGATTGAGGCCCACAGCGACCTCAGCAGTGCAGGCGAGGCAGACGGGGAGGAAGCCCCCCAGGGTCTGCACAGAAAGCCCAAGGCCCAGACGAATGTGAACCCGAGATCCCACTGACCCTCGCTCAAACCGGGCTCCCCGGAACCGCTCTGCCCCGAAAGCGAGCAGCGCCTTTTCGCGTCGCCGTGCCCCGTGCCGGTGGGCTCCTTTAACCAAGTCGTCCCGAGACACAAGAATTAACAAAGTCTCCCATTACGAGCAGGCCGTCTCACGAGCGAGCCCAGCGTACTGGCTCAGCTGGGATTTTTTAAAGCACGCTACATAAAAGGTACTTCCCAAAGTAAAAAACAAAAATTTGCAGAAGACCCCTGCATACCCATTTTGACCCAACATAATTTGGCTATTATGGGAGTTCAGTGAAAAAAATGATCCCAAGGGGCAGGTGTCGTGGCGCAGCGGGTAGAGCCACCGCCTGTGACACAGTCATCCCACGTGGGCGCCAGTTTGAGTCCCGGCTGCTCCACTTCCCATCCAGCTCCCTGTAAATGCGCCTGGGAAAGCAGCAGAGACGGCCCGGGTGCTTGGGCCCCTGGCCCAGCCTGGCCCAGCCCCGGCTGTTGTGGCCACTGGGGGAGTGAACCAGCAGAGGGAAGACCTCTCTGCCTCTCCCTCTCTGTAATTCTGCCTTCCAAATAAATAAATCTTAAAAAACAAAAAAACTAATAAGAAAAGAAGAAGGGTGGCGCTCTGCTGGTTCACTCTGCACCACGGGTACTTGGGTTTCTGACGTCAGGGCCACTCGGCATGCAGCCCGCATCAGCTTGTGTTCATGTAACGAGGCTTCCAGACCCCGGAGCTCGAGCAAGCATGCGGGGACACGCGCTCTGCCGCGTGGGGAGGGGTATGTGTGTGTGTGTGTGTGTGTGTGTCATTCACTTTGTATCACCGTGTGTGTCTGTGTGTCTCACTCACCTGTACCACCGTGTGTGTGTGTGTGTGTCTCACTCACCTTGTATCACCGAGGGTGTGTGTGTGTCTCACTCACCTGTACCACCGTGTGTGTGTGGTGTGTGTGTCTCACTCACCTTGTACCACCGTGTGTGTGTGTGTGTGTCTCACTCACCTTGTATCACCGAGGGTGTGTGTGTGTCTCACTCACCTGTACCACCGTGTGTGTGTCTCACTCACCTTGTACCACCGTGTGTGTGTGTGTGTGTGTGTCTCACTCACCTTGTATCACCGTGTGTGTGTGTGTGTGTGTCTCACTCACCTTGTACCACCGTGTGTGTGTGTGTCTCACTCACCTGTACCACCGTGTGTGTGTGTGTGTGTCTCACTCACCTTGTATCACCGGGCCTTCTGACTCATTCTGATCAACCAACTCTGGAAAGAAAGCAGACGGGGCTCAGCAGAGACCCAGTGAGCGCGCCATCCCACTGCAGAGCCGCGTTCACACCCATGCGCGCCGACACCCTAGGCCGGGTGCCCGTGCAGCCACCCCGACTCCCTGGAGACCGCCACAAGGGGAGCAGAGCACTGGCCCAACACCTGACTGAACCCCCGCAGCACGCAGACCGGCCGGCACTTAGAGGCGAAGCAGAGAACTGCGACGGGATTTCTCGGACCGACAGAAGCCCCTAGAGGACAGGGCGCGCTCTAGTCGGCAAGGCCTCCCCAGCTCCTTGCAGACAGGAGGCAGAGTCTGGAAGAAGCAACGGAAGGGCGGGCTGTGCAGCAAGCAACCTGACAGAAAACTGAACCTCAGAATGCGCAAGACGAGACAGGAAATGTGTGACAGCGGAGCAGGCGCACAGCCACGCGCTTCCCAGCCCATGGGGGCCCGCTGAGCACAGCCCCCAGAGCCCGCACACCACACCGAAGGTGACTGCCAGGGCACAACCCAGAGGACCCATCGGTCAGCGCAGATGGTTCTCACGAGCCAGAATCATTACAACTGCAGGAAGGACCGGATGGCTCGAGGAAGGAGAGGCCGAGGCTCACCCTGCAGTCTAACCACACACACCATGCTAATGTGACGAAGGCGGCTCCGGATACCACGCAAAACCACAGGGACGTTAGGGGACAGAAAGGGCACCGAACACTTGTTCACTGAATGAGACCCGAGAGCTCGGCCTGCACCAGACACTGTGTCAACACCAGGGCCACTAACACAAGTGACCGGGGCGGCACGACAACCCCCGCAGGGACCAGCACCCGGCAGCAGCAGCAAGAACGCGCCGAGGGGAGGGCAGGCAGACTGTAACGGGCAGCCAGCCAGCAGGTGAGGCTCTGCAGGGGACCGCGGCTCAGCCGCAACATCTCAGCTCCGCCTGGTTCGAGCCCCGGCTCTCCTCCCGACGCCAGCGTCCTGCTAACAGACAGACCCTGGCAGGTGGCAGTGATGCTAAGTCCTTGGGTTCCCGCCACCCACAGGGGGAGACCCGGACTGTCTTCCAGGCTCCTGGGCATTCAGACCGTGGGCAGTGAGCCAATGGATGCGAGGCGTCATTTTCTGTCTCTGCCTCTAGGATTTAAAATAGAACAAGACCGAAGCCAGAGTTCCACATTTATTAAGAGTGGAAGGGCAAACAGCGCTCTAAAACTCTCCCCGTGGGTCCCACAATGGCCGTATAGCGGCTGAAGAAGCCGAGGAGACGTCAGGTCTCTCCACCCAGGGAGTGCCTAGGAGTGGCTGCGGCTGGAGGACAACGCGGGGCCCAGACACGCACCGCAGGCTCTGCCAACACGCGGGGCTCACACTCAACACGGACACGGACACGCACACGCACACGCACACACACACACACACACACACACAGAAACACAGACACAGAGACACAGACACACAGACACAGACATGCGCCACAGGCCCTGCCTCACACTCAACACGGAAAAGGAACGGCCTCCATCAGCCTGGCGGCGGATCCGGGGTTTTGGCAAACGCTGCTTCAAGTCTTGGTCCAGCCAAGTGTTCAGAACTAGGGACCACTGCCGTTCCTCTTCTCATCTGACTGCAGTTAGATCCTTTGCCCACACCCCCGCTGAACCAGGCTCCTGTACCTCTATGTGTTCAACTCTTTTCATTTAGTGGAGCAGAGCCTTTGACTAGCACGTAAATTTAAAATGTTATCTCAAAAGCTACAAAAAAGAGACAGAGAGAAATGCAAGCCAGCCACAGGCTGTGGCTGAATCCCACCACACCGCAACCACAGCAAGGCCGCCACAACGGGGAATCCCACATGTGTGATCACAGGACAGACAGACAGACAGACTGTGGTCAAGACGCGGCCGTGCTAAAGACAGCAGATGCAACCTCCTTCCCATGGTTCAAAGAGCTCCATCGACACGAAGCAGCGAACTGTACGTTTAGATCTGGGTCCCGTTCCTAAGGTACCTCGCCATGTATAAGCAGATACTCCACAGTGGGAGAAAACCCATGGCTCGAAACACTTCGGGTTCCAAGCGTTCTGGAAAAGGAGCTCATCTGTACCCCGCGTGCAGCTCCTGCCACAGCCGAGCCGAGGCTGTGGACACACTCCCCCACCCCCCAGGGTCGCCGGCGGCTTCCCGAGATACTCACGGTTGTTAATCACGAGTCCTGGGAACGGCCTACAAAGAGAAACACTGCGTAAGGCGACACTGGTCCCACACGCATGCCGTGCGCTGACAGGGACCAGTGCCGAGGGCGGAGGGGGACCACAAGGAGGGCACGCTGAGCCTGGGGGCGCGTCCTGGTGGGAGGCAGATCTCCACCTGCCTCAGGGGAATGGCGTGCAGACCGGCCCCGGCTCAGCGGGATTTTCAGGCCGGGGGAGCTGGGACAACATGAAGGGGAGAAAACAGACTCAAAGGTGGTGGTGGTGGGGCCCTGGCGACTGCTGGGTGCTGGTGCTAAGGGGTCTTCCACTAGACCGGGGCCCTGGTGGGCAGTGCCTGCGGAGATACAGCGACAGCTGAGGTCTGGGGGGCAGCTGCCACTCACAGGGCGTGCACGAATAAACGGAGCGCTCTCCTGCCCTGGCCCCGCCCACAGACAAGGAGGCAACAGCGACTGCACTATGAGCAGCGGCCAGCGCGGGCTGCAGCCTGGGAGGCGATGTCTCACGAGGCTGCCAGGATTCTTCTGTTACAAAAACGGAGCCGATGCTGTTTCAACCGTGCAGGCCGCACCATCTGTCTCCACCATGCAACCCGACTGCGTCAGCACAGAGCGCCCACGGGCAACGTGCAAACACCGGATCCTAGTGCGTTTCGTTAAGAGTGTGGAAACGGGGACAGGCTGGCCGTGGCCCACAGGCCAAACCCTGGCCTCGAAAACCAGAGCGTTACGCAGAGCTCTGGGAGGAGGGGCTCTAACAGTTACAATAACTAACAAGGGGCCATGCTGTGGCGCAGTGGGCAAAGCACCACTTGCAGTGCCCGCAGCATCCTATATGGGAGCCGGTTCGTATCCCAGCTGCTCCACTTCCAATCCAGCTCCCTGCTAATGGTCTGGGGAAATCAACGGAAGATGGCCCAGATGCTTGGGCCCCTGCACCCACACAGGAGACTCAGAAGGAGCTCCAGGCTCCTGGCTTCTGCCTGGCACAGCCTGGGCTGTTCGGACCATCTGGGGAGTAAACCAGTGGCTCTGATTTCCAAATAAGTCAATCTTAAAAAACAAAACAACAACAACAAATCCCTTTAGGGCACTGGTTCGAGTCCAGGATGCTCCATTTCTGATTCGGCTCTTTGCTAATGGTCTAAGAAAAGCAGTGGAAGATGGCCCAAGTGTGTGGATCTCTGCCACCCACAGGGGAGATTAGGAAGAAGTTCCTGGCTCCTAGCTTCAACCTGGCTGAATCCTGGCCTTAGGGGAGTGAACTAGTGGATGGAAGATCCATCTCTTTCTTTCTTTTCTTTTCTTTTTTTTTTTTTGACAGGCAGAGTGGATAGTGAGAGAGAGAGAGACAGAGAGAAAGGTCTTGCTTTGCCATTGGTTCACCCTCCAATGGCTGCCGTGGCCGGCGTGCTGCAGCCGGCGCACTGTGCTGATCCGAAGCCAGGAGCCAGGTGCTTCTCCTGGTCTCCCATGGGGTGCAGGGCCCAAGCACTTGGGCCATCCTCCACTGCACTCCCTGGCCACAGCAGAGAGCTGGCCTGGAAGAGGGGCAACCGGGACAGAATCTGGCGCCCTGACCGGGACTAGAACCCGGTGTGCCGGCGCCACAAGGCGGAGGATTAGCCTATTGAGCCGCGGCACCAGCCTGATCCATCTCTTTCTAACTCTTGATTTTCAAATACTTAAATCTTTAAAAAGCTAAAAAATAACTAGTAAGTATCTGTGTTTGTTCCTTTGCTGCCTGGTGAACTTGATCTGACTGCACACTGAAGATGACGTGGGCCATGCCTGCGCGGATCCGTTCTCTGACTGGGCAGGGGACGCTCACCTGATGACCGTGAACTTGATGAACTCGGCAGAGTCTAGGATCCTCCGCATGGAGCTGATCTCCAGGTAGCTGGGGGCCTTGAACGACACCCCTGGCGGCATGCCGTCCACCACCACGCAGCCAGGGTTGATGGTGATCTTCCTGTAGGGGACCTTCACAGGGAAGCCCATACCGATCGCCTCACCTGCAGAGGCCAACACAAAGGCGCGGATGAGCCCAGCACCCACCCGAGGACGCATTCAGAACACACGAGCCCAGGATTTACTGCAGACACCACCCTGCCACTGACAACGGGCGGTGCACTTGAGACACAGATGTGAACCTCAAGGGCATTAACCGACACGGCATCGCTCCTCGTTCCTTACTGAGAGACCCAGCAGGAGCAGGAATACTGACTTTGTAGCTTCCCTCACCCCAGGGAGTCTCCCTGCTTAGCACAGCGCCGGCTGACGCCGCACTCACCGAACTTCCGACTGAAGAGGTCGTTCACTTGCTCCCTCAGCTGTCTGGCCTTCTCGACCTTGGACAGTCTTTCGTTATCATCGTCTGAAACGGCCGAGAGAAAACCCAGAACAAGGCCCTGTTAATTCTCTGTGCCACGCTCATCAAGCATTTCAGCCTGTGAATGGCTCGAGCTCTAAACCACCTAAAGGTGCCACAGACGGAAAGTGCTAGAACCTTAGTGCTGAGTGCTGTTACATCATCGGCTGTGTTACGCAGACTTCTTAAAGGACAGACTGGGTGAGTGACAGGGGTCATCCCAGCCAAGGGTACCACCTGCCTACAGCCCTTCCGAGAAAAACTGGAGAGGGCCGCGACCCGGCTGCCCTGGAGGGGCGCGTGCCAGCGTGCCAGGGCCAGCCCCGCCACCCACGACGGCAGGAGCGCTCGTACCTGGAATCGTCACCTGGATGATGTTCAGGTCTTCGACACCCGATGCAGTGGTGTTCACGCTGGGCGATGAGTTTATTTTTCCTTGAAACAGAAGCTAAGATTAGAAGCTGTGGAGAGCTGGTCGGAATCCCCTCCCAAGCAGGAAGCCACGTGCCCAGGGCCCAGACCACGTGGATGGGCCACGACCCACTGCAGGCGAGGGCCAGTTTTCTGCCTGGCGCATCGACAGGAGGCGTCCCAAGAGCTGGTTTTCCCCTTCCTGACGGTGCTTAGCACAGCATCGCACACACAGACACACGACCGCTCAGAGAACTACACCGCGAGCAGCTAAGACCCCTCTGCACGAGACGGCGCTGGGCAAAATGCATTCCGCTCCCCAGCAGGACACTCACGTGGCGGGCTCTTAGAGGAGGTGCTCTCCTTGATGGCAGTCTCAAACATCTCGGGCCTGCACAGGAGAAAACGCTCGTAGGCAACAGCAGAACGCTACCGCCAGAAATTCAACGGCACTGAGAAACCCGTAACGCTCTCCGAGTAAGTATCCGATTCTCAATGACGTCAGAAAGGCAGCAACACGGCCACCTACCCAGAGGAGCGCGAGTCACAGCTGAGACCTCAGTGCCGCCCACCCTCCGGCCCCTGTTCGTGGGCATCTTCTCACGCTCAGAGCGTGTCCCGAGAAGGGCGGCAGGAAGTGCCCGTGTGCAAAGCCTGGGCCACAGCCGGCCTGTGCAGGCGTGGGCACAGGGTCTCTCCCAGCAGGCAGCGGCAGAGGCCTGCCTGACAGACACACCTTCCCAGCTGGGCCCATCACCACGGCGACAGGGACTCTTCCCAGGTGACTCCAGAGCAAGCCCTACCCCCAGCAAGGAGGTCTAGGAGTGACGTCACCACGACAGCTATGCAAGCAAGCCCCCCACAGCCGGTGCACAGCAACCATCCTAGAAGGTAACATTCGGCTGGGCCAGTGCTGTGGGGCGGGGGCTAGGCTGCTGCTTGGGGTGTGGTACCCCGTATTTCAGCCCGGCCTCAACTCCTCTGCTTATGACCCACCTGCCTGCTGACGTGCCCGGGAGGCACCAGGGGGAAGGCTCAAGTTCTCGGGTTCCTGCTAACCTCAAGGGGAGCCCTGCATGGGGCTCCTGGCTCCTGGCTTCAAGCCTGCCCAGCGCTGGCTGTTGCAGCCGTGTGACTCAGTAGATGGAAGAAGTGACGCAGTAGATGGAAGAACTTACTGTCTGTTTCTCCTCTCTCTGCCTTCCAAATAAGTAAATAAATAAGTCTTAAACGCATTTCAGTTAATTTCAAATACTGAGCGTCAGTGGGTATTTTTAAATGCCAACTATTCCCATCTATTTCAATTGTTGGATGAATTCAAACATGTTCTAATAAACATGAGTGCAGGAAAAAAATTTTAAATCTTCAATCACTTGGAAAAATAAAAGGCCTCTGGAAAAACAAACCCCTGTCTCTCAGATAATATGTGAAAAACTAAAAAAAAAGAAAACAAGGATGAAGAAAAAAAAGAGGGCGGGCACTGAGCCTGTGAAGGCACTAGCTGCGATGCCCGTACCCTGGCCCTGGCTCCCGACCCCGCTACCAGCTAACGCAGGCCCTGGCAGGAGCAGTGTGGCTCCAGCAGCCGGGTGCCTGCCACCTGCGTGGGGACCTGGACTGTGCCCCTGATGCCTGGCTTCAGCTCGGCCCACCACTGCCTTTCTGGGCATTTGGGGAGTGCACTAGTGGATGGAAGGTCTGTCTCTCTCTCTTTTTCATTTTAGAAAGAAAGAAGGGATGAGTGTGTGTGTGGGGGGGGGGGGTGGCGGGAAGAGGGGAAGGGAGAGACCCCTGCTCAGATCCCAGTAGCAGTTACCAGCACCACCGACGCGTGGGTGGACGGGAGCTGTCACCCCCTACCCTGCAACCCCCTTCCCTCCCCTGTCCCTGTGCCGAGTGCTGATCGCGCAGCCTCCGCGCATGTCGGACAGTCCCAGGTCACGCACCAGCCCCTCCCGCAGGATCCCCTTACTTCTTGATGATGAACTTGATCTTGGCTTTGTTTCTCAGGATCTTCTCCAGCCTGGGGATGCCGAAAGTGGAGGGTCTCCGGAAGGGCACGCCTTCGGGCAGGCCTTCCACGTAGAAGTCTTCCGGGAAGGACTCGAACAGTGCGAAGGGCACCTTCACGGCTTGCTTCAGTCCCAGCGCCTCGCCTGCAGGCGCACAGGGGCCGTCTCAGCGCCCGCAGCACCACCCCCGGTGCTCAGAACAGGGGAAACCGCGGCATTCCCACCCGGGAAAGCGGCCCGGCGCCCGCCCCTCTACTGACAGAGCAAGACTTTAGTAACGTCCCAAAACGAACTCACCGCACTTTTCATTGAAAAGATTTTCCACTTTCTGCTTCAGGTCGGTGATCTTGGCATTCCAGGCCTCTGCACATAAACGCAGTGTCCGTCAGACTTAGCAACACGCACTCCCAGGCAGGGTGCTTCACCCGATTCTAACTCTGCATTTTTAAGCGGTGCAAAATAAAAACGCTCCATCGGCTGCTGACGCGGCTGAGCCCTGGCAGCCACCCTAGGCTTTATGCCGCTACCAGGCGGTGGCTAAGAGCAAACGCTGTCTCCTTCCAGGTCACGGAGCCTGCCCTGTGGCCGGCACGCTGTGGAGCACACGGCCCTGCCTCCGCTCTGTCCGTAAGGCAAGAGCGACAGTCACAGAGCCGCGAGGCGCTGGCATCAGACCGGAGCTCAGGCATCTCAACACCACTTGGTGCCTCTGGTCTGCCACGCAGAACGCAAGTGCCCTCACAAAACGCAGTGTCCTGACTCATCATACTAAGAACGGACCCGCACTTACCAAAGGAAAACTCTCTCCCCCGAGGCTTGAAGGGAATGTTCGAGCCGTTAGTTTGGGTGGGCGTCCGGACAGCCGAGCTCGGAGGGTTGGTGCTGTTGGGGCCTACGGAAGAGTTGCAGAAAGAGTCACGGTCCCCACGCGCCAGTCAGGCTTCCACCCTGGCTGTGGGGGCCGCTGCCAGCCTGGGCTGGAAACCAGGCCGAGTAGGGGGCGCACACGGCACTCCCAGGGCAGACACCCGCCCACAGGCCGAGGACCATTCGTTCCCGGCTGACCCGAGCCACTGGACACTGGCGCAGCATCAGTGCGCCCAGCACGCTGGCGGCCTGTGCTGGCTTCTGCACTTTCCTGCTGGCCCCTAACAGAAGCACACCCCCGGCCCCGCTGTCTCCACCTGGACGTGAACCAGCCTTCCAGGGACACGAGCCACAGCTTCGACGTCCTCACTGCAGAGGTGTTGGTAAGGCGCTGGGCTTCCACTCCAGTTAGCGTCCTACCGAGCCCCAGCACTTGAGCTTGGCGAGTAAGCTGCGCACAGACCCCTAGCTGTTAACGGCGCACACTGCTCGCCGGCTGCAGCCAGTGCCCTGTGCGATGCCGGTGCCGCGGGTGGTGGTTGTACCTGCCACACCACAGCGCCAGCCCCTAAGTCCTAGCCATCCAGCAAAGCCTAACTTAACTGCTGCTGCCACACAGTGGACCCCTTCCATCAAGTGTTGATGGACTCAGGGGCGGGTTCCCGTTCACCCAGAAGAACCCCAATGCACTCACAGCTAACCAGGGGCTCCTTCGGGAAAGGAAAGACACCCTCAGAACTTTCCAGAAGAGAGCAGAGAGGGGCTGAACGTGTGCACTTGAAACTGCCGGCGCCTCTGAGGGGAAAGGATGGGCGCGGTGCACACCTCTCTCCTCTCAGTGGGGAAACAGCTTCCAACCCACAAGGTCACGGCGGGAGACTATCGCCCACTCAAGATCGAGGCTGCAAATCCTCCTACACACGGGAAATGGAGGGTGCAGCGTGCCGTGCTGACGGAGACGGGAGGAAACACCAACCCCACGGCTGGCCGAGAGCGGGTGGTTCTGCATCAAGTACCTCAGCACTAAACCTGGGCACGGGACCCCACGGGTCAGCGGGAGGGGGGAGGAGGAAGGAGACGGCGGGGTGGGGCAGGAACCACACATCCTAAGGCGCTGCTACTTACCCACTTCTTTTTAAAGGTTATTTATTTTATTTCAAAAGCAGAAAGCAGCCCAGGCTGGGCTAGGCCACAGCCAGGAACCAAGAACTGCACCTGCGTTTTCCACTGGGGAGCAGGGGCTGAAGTGCTTGAGCCCCCATCTGCTGCCCCAGGAACATCAGCAGGAGCTTAACTCGCCCCCCACCCCCACCACCGAGGCACCGCGGGCTACACCACCCCTGACCAGCACCGGCTAAACCACCCCTGACCAGCACCAACTAAACCAGCCCTAACCACCGCCGGCTAAGCCACCCCTGACCACCGCCGGCTAAGCCACCCGTGACCACCACCGGCTAAGCCACCCCTGACCACCGCTGGCTAAGCCACCCCTGACCACTGCCATGCAAATCATCTCTAAATGGTGGTCCCTGTAAAGGAGAGAGAGCCAGAGGAGAAGAGAGCAGTACCGCGCCTTGCTCTCTGCACCTGACTGTCCTAGAGGAAGAAGCACTTGGGGATTCTCCTCAGAGCAGTGCACAGCCGACCGTGGACAGCACGCTCAAGGGCTCCTCGACTTTTAGCTACAAACACCGAGACTGGGCAGAGACGGCGGCCTCACCTTCCACGGTGACCTCAATTTCAGGGACCTTCGAGTTGCTTCCGGGGCTCCGTGGTCTTTTCGGAGACTGCAAAGCTGGAAGACAAGCACACGGTAGCTTCGCACACTGCCAGGCCACAGCGGGAGAGGGCGCTGCCGCCGCCCGCAGCCCTCGGCCAGGCCCTCAGAGCAAGCTCAGCACGTGATCCTGCGCGAGCCCTGGCAAAGCTGCAGACGGCAGCACGGGAGGCCGCGGACACGTCACGGTGGACAAGAGAACGCAGCCACTACGTAAACACCATAAAAGGCACAGAGCAGCGCGGCGGGTTAACGCGTCACTTGAGACGCCGCCTCCCGTGCTGGGGTGTGGGCGTGAGTCCCGCCACTCCACTGCCGATCCAGCTCCCTACCAGCACCCCGGGAAGGTAGTGGGGGAAAGCCCAGGTGCTTGGGCCCCTGCCACCCAGGTGGGAGACCAACATGGAGCTCCAGGCTCCTGACCAATTAGGGAGTGAACCCGCAGATGGAAGCTCCCCGTCACTCTGCCTTCCAAACAAATCAATCAATCCCCCCCGCCCAATAAATAAATAAAACAAATCCATCTTAAAAACACAAACAAAAACCCAACCAACAACAACAACAACAACAAAAACACCAAAGAAATGGGGGGATGGCACTGTGGCATAGCAGGTAAAAGCTGCTGCCTACGGTGCCGGCATCCCATATGGGCGCTGGTTTGAGACCCGGCTGCTCCACTTCCAATCCAGCTCCATGCTAATACGCCTGGGAAAGCAGCAATGATGCACAAGTGCTTGGGCCCCTGCCCCTACGTCAAAGACCCAGAGGACCTGGCTCCTGGCTTCGGATCGGCCCAGCTCTGGCCATTGCAGCCATCTGGGGAGTGAAGCAGTGGATGAAGGCTCTCTCTCTGCCTCTGCCTCTCTGTAACTCTGTCTTTCAAATACATAAATAAAAATATATCTTTAAAAAAGAAAAAACAAAAATGAAGCCAAGGCCTCATGAAGGTGTTGGGCAACGCTATCTGAGGCCCGCAGGTGCAGAATGCGGCCATGCGCGGGGCACAGGGAGCAGCAGATGCACCTCTTACCTTTAGTGTTGATCTTACTCGCCATCCCGGGAGGCAGGTAGGAAACCACCAGTTCAGGCCTGCAAGGAAAACATGGCCAGCGGTCAGTGCGGCGCAGGCCTCACGCAGGCACCCCAGCCCCAGGGACTTCCATCTTTGTGGGCGGGAAACCCACCTCCCCTCCCCTGGACTATCTGATGAGGGATTTTATGAACAGTAAGTGACTCCGTTCATGAGACAGGAAATTCACACCAGTTCAGTTTCTCCAACCATGCAGCCACTGACAGCCAGTCACTGCCAACCATGACCAGGAGTGAGAGAGCAGAGAAAGAACAGCATCTGCAACAGCCACCCAAGTGTCTGGGACTCCTAGGAGACGTCCCGTCCCAGAGGCCACACAAGCGCCGCAGAACAGCAGCTGACGCACAAGGCAAGCGCAGGCGGGGACTCGCCAGGGTGCAGCTCAGAGCCCGGCCTCTCCTTCCCGCTGGAAAAGTACTCACACAGGCAGGCAATCCCATCATGCCACTTCCAGGGCAAGTCCCACTCACTTTTTCACAACAAACTTGATTTTATTACTCCCACGGACAATCCTTTCAAGTCGCGGAATTCCAAACCAGGTAGGGCTTCGAAAGGGAATTCCTTCCGGCAAGCCTTCTACATACAGGAACTCAGGGTTGGATTCGAACACAGGATATGGGACTTTCACCGCCTCTGTGAGTCCAAGAGCTTGAGCTGAAAGACAACACCACTTATGGAAGATAAAGCTGTACCCACATTCTCTCCATCTGTGCTCGCATTCCCAAGCAAGTTTTGTGCACGCTCCCTGCAACCTAGCAATATCCACTCAACACTAGACACTTTTGCTTAGTACAATGTGCAAATCAGAAGAAGAACAAGCCTAAAAGGCAAGCATTCGTTAAGAGGACACTTTAGCACTTTAAATCAAAGGCAGGGCTGCGTTATCAAAGCACTCTCGGAACGCGAGGCAGAATGCAGTAAGGCCATCCCACACAGCAGTGGCCCCGGCCGTCCTGTGCTGCCATCTGGACGCCAAGTTTGCTATGTCAACACAGGAGCTGTGTGGGGTGCATGGGCGTTAGTGACCAGAGGCAGAGTCTTCAAGGCTCCTGATGGAAGGCACAAAATGTCAATTCCAGGAGTTAAATAATCGGATGGCAACAGCCCGAAACCCTGCTGTCACGCCCTGCTGCTTCCTCCCTCTGCCATGACAGATACATCCCACCTGGATCCCACTCCGGACAGCACTCCCGGAACCGCTGCCCCAGATCCAGGTGGAAACCAGTGGCAACACACGCGTGCCAGGCCAGCGTCGGCCAGGGCAGACGTGCAGACCACGGGAGGGGAACTCACCCCATGGCCTCCTCCCCTCCCCCATCCCGACCAGACAATCGGAATCCGAGAGGAGCAGGGTGGCGTGCTTCGTGTGAGCAGTGAGTTGGGCAGAACCAGGCCAGAACCCACGCAGGTCCTGACCCAAGAGACTCCTCGTGGACGCGGCCTTTATTTACGTGTGGCAGTAGACACGAGCACTACGTCTTACCAAACTTCAGGTTAAAGATCTCTTCCACTTGCTTGCGCAGCTTGGTGATTCTGACGTTCCAGTCCTCCTTGACTGCAAAGCAAAGACAACTCCCGTGAACACGGCTGCTGTGCGCATGCGTGCGTGCGACCGCGACCGGAGGTCCGGGCGCGCACCCTCCTTCAGCCGAACCCTGCATTCAGTGTTGCCTACAGTCAGAAGCTTGGGCGTGTGAACATGACTTCCTGAACTCGCCCTCTACCGGAAGACAGGCATGGAGATGAATGCATGCCTCGCTCGCGGTGTAACCAAAGCAGCGGCACTGAAGCACCGGTTTTCACACGCCCCTCTTGGGAGGCCTGTCAGGCTCCCACGCGGGTTCGGCGAGACCCTGCACTCGGATTTGCTCGCTACACAGCCAGCCCTTGTGTCCTGTGACGCGAAACCTCACGAGCGCACCTCTCAGGAAACACGCGGCAGGGACCAGGGAGCTGAGCGCACCCCCACCCACTCGCTGCTCGGTTTTCCAGCCCATTCCGTGCAAGGCAACCACGACCTTTCCATGTGGCCTTTAGAACGGAGTGAAAAGGCCATCAGGAGACACAGGCACGGGCGGCTTGTCGGCGGGCGGAGCTGCGGGTGCCGAGGAGGAGCAGAGTGCACGTCCCGGGGTCGCTGGCAAGGGCGGTGGGGAATGTTGGGGAAATTCTGAGACCCCCGCTGCAGGCGGGCCGCCTCGGGAATCCCCTCCTGACATGGCCTGCGCTTGGAAAGGAAGCCTGGCTCCCCTGCAGCCGGGCCCGAGCTGTCAAGTTCCTATGGATTTCTTTTCTTTTTAAAAAAGACTTAGTGACAGAAAGGGAGACACAGAGAGGCTCCAAGCACTGCCTCACTCCCCACGCGGCCCCAGCCAGCAGCCAGGGAGCTTCACCCAGTCTCCCGCTCGAGTGGCAGGGGCGCGAGCACTGGGCTGTCTTGCGCTGCTTCCCCAGGCGCGGCAGCAGGGAGACGGATGGGAAGCGTGGCAGCCGGGCCTTGAAGAGCTCTCCAGTGTGGGACGCCGGGGTCCCGAGCGGCAGCTTAACCCACGGTGCACAAGGCCAGAGCACCCTCTGGATTGCAAAGCAGCCCAAAGGCTCCTTCCAGTGTGAACCCAATCTCAGTGACTTCTCACAGAGACACCCAGACACCCCCGCTCCAGGGCCACGGGCTCTGCCACCTTGCTGCGTGGTCTCCTGCCCTGCAGCGTCCTCCACGCCCTCCACCGCATTTGCTCCTTCAGTGCGGGAAGACAGGAGCCGGGGACCCTCCCCCATCTCCCCCCTTCAAACTCTGTCACTGGGCTAACCACACCTTTTTCACGTGTGACATCCATCCATCCTTCTTTCCCTTCCTCTTTTTCCTTTTCTTTCTTTTAAGGATTTTATTTATTTGAGGGGCTGGCGCTCTGGCGCAGCAGGATAACGCCCTGGCCTGAAGCGCCAGCATCCCATATGGGTGCCAGTTCAAGTCCTGGCTGCTCCTCTTCCAATCCAGCTCTCTGCTATGGCCTGGGAAAGCAGTGGAAGATGGCCCAAGTCCTTGGGCCCCTGCACCTGGGTGCGAGACCTGGAAGACGCTTCTGGCTCCTGGCTTCGGATTGGCGCAGCTCTGGCTGTTGCGGCCAACTGGGGAGTAAACCAGCAGATGGAAGACCTTGCTCGCGCGCTCTCTCTCTCTCTCTGCCTCTCCTCTCTCTGTGTAACTCTGACTTTCAAACAAATAAATAAAACTTAAAAAAAAAGATTTTATTTATTTGAGAGGTAGAGTTACAGATAGAGGGAGAGAAAGATCTTCCTTCCATTGGTTCACTCCCTAAATGGCCGCAACGGCCGGAGCTGCACCGATCTGAAGCCAGAAACTTCTTCCCGGTCTCCCACACAGATGCACGGGCCCAGGGACTTGGGCCATCTTCTATTGTTTTCCCAGGCCATAGCAGAGAGCTGGATTGGAAGAGGAACAGCCAGAACTACAACCAGCACCCATATGGGATGCCAGCACTGCAGGTGGAGGATTAACCTACTGCGCCACAGTGCCAGCCCCATCCTTTTCTTTTTAAAAAAAAAAGATGTATCTATTTCAAAGGCAGAGGTATGGAGAGAAAGAGAGAGAGATCTTCCATCCACTGGTTTGCTCCCCCAGTGGCCACAATGAGTTCAGTCTAAAGCCAGGAGCCAGGAGCTACTTCCGAGTCTCCCATGTAGGTGCAGGGGCCCAGGTACTTGGGCCATCTTCTGCTGCTTTCCCAGGCACATTAGCAGGGAGCTGGATCGGAAGTGGAGCAGCCGGGACTAGAGCCGGTGCCCATATGGAATGCTGGAGTCGCAGCCGGCAGCTTTAGCGGCTATGCTACAAGACTGGCCCCATGCCACCCATCTTTCACCAACCTGCACCCAGCATGTTTAAGGAGACTACTCTGACGGCAGTGACAAACACATTTTGCGTGTCATGGAATCGGTGACGAGCTGGCCACTGGCAGGCCATTGCACCACTGTGTCAGAACAAGAGCCACCTCCCATTCCTTCCCAAGGTCTGCTAAGAACGGCAGACACTCAAGTTCTATTCACAAGACTGGGAACTTAAAGATTCTCCTTGTGTTACAAGCCTTTGACTTATGCTTGAAGACAGCAGATCGAGTACTGCTGAGAACGGCACAACACGGCAGCTGGAATACCGCCAAGGCCTGCACGCTCTTTCAATGACGCAATGACCATGCTCAGTGTCTGCAGGAGGCACTCACATTTGTCGCGAGCCTGAACGTGAAGTCTCCCCCAAGGAGGGGCAGGCGGCTCTGGGCGATCGCCATGTCCTCACAGGGCACAGCAAGGCCCTGGGAATACCCGCCTTCTCCACACGGTCCCCTTAGCACAGGACGTGTCCCTTCCAATCTTCATCACCAACACCCTTGTTTTGCCTAAAGCAAAGGCACGCTGGGGGGCGAAGCTCTGGGTCAGTTAGACAGGGCTATGACCTTCTCCACTGCGGGCTTCCCCGGCACAGTATTTAGTATTTCCCATGCCGCCCTACGCAAAGACGGCCCTTCACGTCATCACACACAAAGAAACTCCTTGGCACGCTGCCCGGACCCTCACTAGCTGCCCCAGGCGTCCTGAAAGCTGATCCAGCACTCCTGTTTCAGGACACACAACCCTGACCGCACACGGCCCCTCAGTGCTCACGAGAGTGACCGCACACATTTAAGACACTAACAGACACTCAGGATTCACTCTTTCTTTCTTTCTTTTTTTTTTTTTTTTGACAGGCAGAGTGGACAGTGAGGGGGTTCACCCTCCAATGGCCACTGTGGCCGGCGTACCGCACTGATCCGATGGCAGGAGCCAGGTGCTTCTCCTGGTCTCCCATGCGGGTGCAGGGCCCAAGCACCTGGGCCATCCTCCACTGCCCTCCTGGGCCACAGCAGAGAGCTGGCCTGGAAGAGGGGCAACCGGGACAGAATCCGGCGCCCCGACTGGGACTAGAACCCGGTGTGCCGGCGCCGCAGGTGGAGGATTAGCCTAGTGAGCCGCAGCGCCGGCCTCACCCTCACTTTCAAACACTCATTTCCTGAAAACTTCAAACTCCCCACTGCTGGGCCTGGCCCCATGGAGCAGTGGGGTACGCTGGGCCGCAGTACTTCCACCTCTGATCCTGCTTAGCGGGCAGTGGAAGATGGCCCAAGTGCTTGGGCCCCTGCACCCATCTGGAAGACCAGGATGGAACTCCTAATCACAGCTATAGCCTGGCCCAGCCCTGGCTGCTGTGCACATCTGGGGAGTGAGCAATAGAGAGAAGGCCAATCGCCTGGTGTCCCCTTCCCTCCTTGTCACCCAGCCTTTCAAACACACACACAAACCTTGAAGAAGAAGTTAAAACAGGTCTGCAACACAGAATACAGCTATGGCTGTCCAGGCCCTGGCAGCAGAGACCTGCAGATGTACTCGCTCTTTCTGACACTACACAAAGGCAGAGAAGGGCAGGCATGGCCGGGGCACCTGTGTCCTGCACAGAGTACCCAGTACAACCCTGGCCCCCTTCTCAGTTCCAGCTCCGTGTCACCAGCAGGTGACAGCTCAAGTGTTTGGGTCCCTGCCAAGCCGGAGGGAGACCTAGAGTGAGTCGCTGGTTTCTGGTCCACCACGTCCTCTCCTGGCTACTGAGGGCATCTGGAGAGTGAACCAGCAGATGGCAGGTTAAAAAAAAAAGAGAGAGAGAAAGAGAAAGAGAGAGAGGAAAGAAAGAAGGGCTCATCAGAGCTCAAATAAAGAAGTGAAATCATTCATCCACAACTTGGGCTGCAATATTAGCGGACAGGCTGGAATCATCACACAATCTGCTGCTTTGAGAACAGGGCCCACGTGAGGAGAGCTGACAAGCCCCTTGCCCCTTGTTTGTGGCCTGATGCGGCAGCTAGTAGCCTCCGGTGGCTAGCTGGAGTTAGGATGAGCTCCAAGTATCAAATACACACCAGGCTGCTTAAATCAACTACTGAAATAACGTAGAATGAGTCATGATTATAGAATGAAATGCAAGTCCGGCTACCAGCCTGGGTGTGTTCATCTCGATAAACCAAGGAATGCCTGTAGCCAGCTCCCACAAATGACGGGGTGGCATGGCTTCATGGCTTTAAGAGAGTACAGTCTAAAAGGCCTGAGAAGCGTTGACGTGGGCTTTCCACCGAGGACTCAGGCCTCCTTACCTGGGGTATTCGTCCTCGGCTGAGTGACTTCGGTGGTGCTGTGAGTCAGAAGCTCTGGCCTGCAGCAGGAGCGCGGTTATGATTAGTGAGAGCATTCAGAACAGGACCTTTCCCACAGAGCTGTGCGCTGCCAACTACATCAACTACGCTCTATCTGTCCCTGCCCCCGGACAGCGCACCCTACTGACAGCCACACCATCTTGCATGTTTCCACGCCCTGTCACAAGCACATGCCCCAGCCAGTAGGAACCACCCCCATCACTCAGCGCTCCTTCCTTGTGACCCTACCCCTGCACCCAAATAACTTACCCTGCGGCCCTTCAACAGTGGGAATTCTCCTACAATGTGCTTTCACACCTTTAGCCACCCGGCCAACCCAGTGCGTCGGTCTCGTGTCAAGGCCTGGCAGGCCCACCTGGCGCGCCGCATTCCAGAAGGAATGGGTGAGGGGAACACGCAGGCCTATCCAACCCCACGCTCCACTGTGCGGGCACGACGGCCCAGCTGGACTGTCACCCTCACCCTCTCTCCTGGAGACGCTAACTTCACTGAACTTGTCTCTGTAGGAAGCCCTCGGGGACAGGCTCCTCTCAGGACCAGTTTTGTACATCTGGCACTTGTCTGAATGAGTATTTGTAGAATAAGTGGATCTCCACCTGACTGCTTTAACACAGAGGCAATTTTGTTTGGGGAGGGGAACAAAAGGCCCCCCTCATCCAACGAATCTTCCCACAGGAAACAGGAAACTTAGTTTTGCAGGTTATAACCTTACCTTTTGATAACAAATTTGATTCGATTGCCCACTTGGATGATCTTTTCCAGCCTCGGGATTCCGTACCAGGAGGGGCTTCTGAAGGGAATGTTCTCGGGCAGTCCTTCCACGTACAGGTCGTTGGGGTGTGCCTCAAACTTCTGGTACGGGACAGCCTTGGCCTCACTGCTGCCCAAGGCTTCCGCTGGACAGAAACCAAAGCAATTCGGGAGACTGAATGTGTGTTGCAATCATTGTAGCACAATCCAAAGCAAGGTGCATGTCAGTGAAGAAAAAACTGGAAACACTCTACAAATGTGTCACACTAACCATGGAAACAGACTCAATACAGCCAAGTATGAATGATGTAGAACCAACAGCCAGGTACTGGTGGACTTCAGTGTCGCAGTTCTAAGACAACTCTCATCTTAGTAACTCTAAAATCTTAAGAAATGAAACCTCTTTGGTCAATATCCTTACAAACAGAGGAAGGAAAAAAAAACCATGAGCGCCCATAAAGAACACCACGGCCCCTAATTCCTCCACTCTCCGGAAGCACACACACGCTGCCTGCGGCTGCACGGGGACCCTCAGGACCCCCTTGCTGGCTGCCGCACACTCCCTGCTTTCATCCGTGCACTGCAACCCCGAGATCAGTGTCCCTTACCCCCAGACTCCATGAACGTTTAGAAATTGTAAAAGGAAAAATTTCCCACAAAGGAGCCATAGGAAGGGAGATAAAAATAGCAAGCAGAGGCTGGTTCATAGAAGGGGCAGAGCAGGCGAAGTTAACGGTGCCCCTTGGCTGGCTCGACTGTTCAGCTCCGCATGGAAACCTGACGTGTCAGACGGTTAAAGATTTTTATAAAAACAAACAAACAAACAAAAAAAACCACCAAAATGTGTATTCAAATCTTCGCACAATAAACTTCTTTTAATTATGTAAATAAACACATGAACGGCTGCAGAAGAGAAGTGAGGGAAGAGGGCTGAAGAATGAAACGCGGGGCAATCTAGCATCCCTGAAACCGAGTACGGTTCCCGAGGTTTGTGGTACCACCTTCTCTTCTCCGTCAGCACAGAAACTGTAAGTTAAAGATGAAACCATAAGCTACCAATTCCTGTCCTGAAACCACCTCTAAACAGGCTCTAAAACAATAAAAAAGACTCGCATAGTTTATAAGACACAGGTGAGCCTGGCGGTTGAACGAGAGGGGCGCAGGGCCCGGCGCTGGGGCACAGTGGGTAAAGCCGCTGTCTGCAGCACAAGCATCCTGTATGGGCGCCAGCCTGAGTCCTGGCTGCTCCACTTTTTTTTTTTTTTTTTTTTTTTTTTTAAGTTTGGAGAGATCAATAGCTATAGCAAGTCTACATTTTCCCTCCTCCCTTTCAGGAACCTTAAAGAAACGCAGCACTGCTGGCCTACAGACTCACTGGAAGCAGGAAGCAGGAACAAACAGCCAGGCTTTTATCAGTCATTGTTAGTCAACTTTTCTTTATAATTAATTGTTTATTTAAATGGCAGAGTTACAGAGAGGCAGAGGCAGAGGCAGACAGAGAGGTCTTCTATCCGCTGGTTCACTCCCCAAATGACTGCCACGGCTGGAGCTGTGCCGATCTGAAGCCAGGAGCCAGGAGCTTCTTCTGGGTCTCCCATGAGGGTGCAGGGGCCCAAGCACTTGGGCCATCCTCCACTGCTTTCCTAGGCCACAGCAGAGAGCTGGATGGGAAGTGGAGCAGCTGGGACTTGAACTGGTGCCCATATCCGCTACGCCACAGCGTGGCCCCCGCCATTAGTAAACTCTGAATCTGTTTTCTTAGCTGTAATAAACAACCACATTTTCCTACTGCACTTTTTCTCTGTGAGTAAACCAACTCCTCAACAGCGGTCTCCTTCCACCAGGCAAAAGCAGTCTGCGGGGCAGCCAGTGTGCTAGTGGCCTCATCACTCCATCACCAGGACTACGTGACAGGAGGAGCAGTGGGCGCCTGCTCTTGGAGGCGTTCCGCACCCATCACCTCCTCACAACCCACAGTGACACGGTGACATCTTGAATGATGAATACCCATCCCTCTGTTCTGTGTCCATAAACATCTTAGACACACAATGATTATAAAAGTAGGAAGGGGACCCGTTTTGTGGCTACAGGCTAAGCCACCACCAGCAATGTTGGCATCCCATGTCAGGGCACCAGTTAACAGTCCTGGCCTCTCTGCTTCCGATCCAGCTTCCCGCACATGCACCTGGGAAGGCAGTGACAATCCCAAGATGACCCATGTGTTTGGGCCTCTGCCATCCACGCGGGAGACGCAGATGGAGCTGCCGGCTTCAGCCTGGCCCAGCCCTGGTTGTTGTGGCCATTAGGGGAGTGAACCAACAGATTGAAGATCTCTCTCTCCCCTTTCTTGTCTGGTGCTCTCTGCCTTTCAAATACATAAAAAGAGAAAATTTTGGAAAGAGAAAAAGAAGAGGCAGTTCTTTGGTTTTCTGCTCATGAGCTAGTCTCTGAGCAGATGGAAGAGAGAAAACATCACGGAGGCGCCAGCGTGGGCACTGGGCCTAGCGCTCGATGCTGGTTTGGTTGCTTGCGTTGCAGTGTCAGAGAGCCTGGGCCGGCTGCCCTGCTCCACGCCTGGCTCCAGCGATGGGGCCAGTGGTTGGGTTTCCGCCACCCATGTGGGATCTGGATTGGGTTCCCAGTTTCTGGCTTCAACCCCAACCAGTGAACTTTGTGAGCGTTTGGAGTGGGACAGCTGGCAGTAACTTTTTTTCTCTTTCCCTTTCAAGTGAATAAATAAAATTTTAATATATATATTTATTACTAAGGTCCCACATTCCTACTGGATACCCAGAAATACTGATGAAAAGCAGCTTAAAATTCTGACCTTTTCTGACGGAAAGGGAGTTAGAACTGGTTTAGTGGGGTGTGTGTGTGTGTGTGTGTGTGTGTGTGTGATTTTTTTTAAGCGCATGAATTCTACAAAAGCACACCGAGTGCAGGAAGTCTGCAGCGGTCCCTCGAGTTACACCTACAGGTTGACCCTGAAGACTCGGTGCCATGCACCCTCTCGTGAATCAGCAGATAGGGAAAGCCCCAGGAGACTCGCTGTCACGTAGCAAACCTAACTGGGGGCACTGCTGGCAGTGAGTGCCGGCTCGGCCTCCCGTGTCTTCTCAGAGCTGTGCGCCCGACAGAAGGCTCAGAGACGTCTGCCGGCTCGCACGACACTGCCACACAGCACCTCGCAGAGCACAGAGCGGACTCCTCCCGCTCCTCCACAGAATCCTGCGGGAAGCAGGATCTAGGCAGGGGTCTGAGTGACGCTGCTCTGCTGATAAACTCCAAGTCCTGTAGGCATTTATGAAGTGCTTACGAAGCAACATTAAAAAGGGCAGCATGGGCCGAGCTGCGTGTGGAGAAAGGCAGGTGTGCTGCCAGGCAGCACGTCTCCCCGATTCGGCGCTCTGTCATGAGGCCCAAGGAGCAAAGGCCTGCCAAACTGTGCATGCCCTCAACGGCAGAAAACACTGTGCTGCCTGGCCAAGCTGCCAGTGGAGGGCGCACGGGACCCTGACCCCTTCCCCCGCTTCTGTGTGGAGTAGAGAGAACTGGACGTGAGATATACCCACCTGGATTACTTCCCTAAGGCTCAGAGGGCAAAACATCAGTGTGTGACGCACACTCACCAAATTTTTTGCAGAAGAGCTGGTCCACCATCTTCCTTAACTTGGTGATCCTGGCATACCACTCCTCCTTCACTGCAACAGCAAGCACACGCACCTTCAGTGACCCGGCTCAGCGTGCAACACGACCACACACACGCGGCTCAGCGCCAACACAACCACACACGCACCACTGAGCACGCAATACAACCACACACACGCGGCTGAGCGTGCAACACGACCACACACACGTGGCTCAGTGCACAACACAACCACACACATGTGGCTGAGTGCGCAACACGACCACACACACGTGGCTCAGCGCGCCACAGGACCACACACACGTGGCTCAGTGCGCCACAGGACCACACACACGTGGCTCAGTGCGCAACACGACCACACACACGTGGCTCAGCGCGCAACACGACCACACACACGTGGCTCAGCGCGCCACAGGACCACACACACGTGGCTCAGCGCGCAACAGGACCACACACAGGCTGCGGCAGCTCCCCTTCTGCTCTAAGACCACTCACACCGAGCAGTGAGTGAGAAGCAAAGTCAGCTAAAGCTCGGGCAGAGTAGAATCAGTTTACTCCACAGAGGCTGGTGGGCGGCCGCGAGACCTGATCCGCTGGGGCTGTCCCAGTGCGGACGATCGTTCTGCAATGGCCAGTCCAAACCGGGCGCCTCCTGCTTTCTGCCACCAGCCAACTCCACTCCGGAGCAAACGCAGCCGGGAGGTCGTGGTGGGATTCCCTTCCGCGCATCTGACAAGCGGATGGCGGCGCCCGCAGCTGCGCGCTCTAAGTTACGCTAAGTCCTGGGGGTAATGTGCACTTGCTGAATGGATGTCTGTTCAATCAACCAATGCAGACCAGGAGAACAAGCTCTCCAGTACACGAAGCCAGGCGACAAACTACATCTCACAGGTGGAAGGCACAGTCATTTTAGTCCTTCCACACACAAGGTAATCGTTCCGTTTACTGACACGAGGTTATCACGGGGTTATCAGCACTCTTCTAGCGAGTACTGCAGCTCTGACAATGCAGATTCTCCCGCAGTGGCATCTACCTGAGAGTTAGATATATTATTTCATGTAGGAGGTAACAGAGAGAAGAAACCAGGATTCCTTTAAAGGATAAAGGATCATTGCATGCAATTCTAAGGTAACCCAAGACCAGAGTCTCACCTCCTGACGCTGGTTTATCAAGCTGTAAATCTTCTCGTGTGGAGTTCAGAAGTTCGTGTCTGAAACAGGAGAAGCACCAGACATTCAGACAACCGTCAGCACAGCAGTGATGCCAGCACGTGTGCACAGTGCAGTCACCACGTCCAGTCGTCAGTCCAGACTTCTGAGCACAACCCAACCTTAACTTCCTGAGACTTCTACAGTCTAACAGAACAAAATGTTAACTGCCAATTGTTTCACAATGCACTTGGCGAACACATGTCCTCACAGTACAAGTGGTAACTCTGCGTGAGCTGTGGCACAAGAAGTTAAGCCACCACTTGGGACACTGGCATCCCACATGGGGGGCTGGTTGGAAGTCTCAGCTTTCCCACTTCCGATCCAATTTCCTGCTCACGCAGCCTGGGAGGTAGCAGGTCAAAGCTCAGGAGCCTCCTCCTGGTCTCCCATGTGGGTGCAGGGCCCAAGGACCTGGGCCATCCTCCACTGCCTTCCCGGGCCACAGCAGAGAGCTGGACTGGAAGAGGAGCAACCGGGACAGAACCCAGCACCCATATGGGATGCCAGTGCTGCAGGCGGAGGATTAACCTAGTGCTGGCTTCAGACTGGCAGAGCTCCGGCCATTGCGGCCATTTGGGGAGTGAACCAACGGAAAGAAGACCTTTCTCTTTGTCTCTATCTCTCTCACTGTCTGTAACTCTACCAGTCAAATAAATAAATAAAAATCTTAAAAAAAAAAAAAAAAAAAAAGCTCAGGAGCACAAGGCCCCCTACCACCTGGGCGGGAGGCCAGGATGGCGTTCTGGGCTCTGGCTCTGGCCTACCCCAGCAGACAGAACATCTCACTCTCTCTCTCTGCCTGCTGCTTTGCTTTTCAAGTAAATAAATAAATCGCTTGAAAAGTAAAATTCAAATGTTAAAAAAGAAACAATGTAATAAAATGGCAGCACAAAGGGGCTCTTAAACAGTGCGCTGACACCTGACGGTGCTGGACCTGGCTGGAGCTAAGCTTTCTTAACAGCCCACTTAGTGTTCAACTTCAGTACAGATCACTCAAATCTTAAAAGTACCATGTGTCTGAAAGAAAAATACCTGTTAGCAACAGCTTGCTCAGTGAAGGGCAGCTTACCCATAATCTTGAGGTACCTCATGGGTTCTTTTCATCTTTAATTAAATCCCAACAGTGCCTGTCATTCTTAGTGCAAACTGAGACGGGCAAGTCTGCCTGGCTGTAATACAAACCGAGGCAGGCGGTCGTGGGCATCCCCGTGTTCTCAGCAGTACCAGAGCGTTACCAGGAATGAAGTGACTGTTGTTTTAATACTGCTTTTCATGGGGCCAGCACTGTGGTGTAGTGGGTAAAGCTGCTGCCTGCAATGCCAGCATCCCATATGGGCACCAGTTCAAATCCTGGCTGCTCCACTTCTGATCCAACTCCCTGCTGATGCACCTGGGAAAGCAGCAAAAGATGGCCCAAGTCCTTGGGCTCCTGCACCCACATGGGAGATCCTGAAGAAGCTCCTGGTTCCTGGCTTCAGATTGGCCCAACTGTGGCCATTACAGCCATTTGGGGAGTGAATCAGTGGATGGAAGATCTCCCTTTCTCTTTCTGCCTCTGCCTCTCTTTAACTCTGCCTTTCAAGTAAATAAATAATTAAATCTTTTTTTTTTTTTTTTTTTTTTTAAATCGTGTCTTTCAGTTCACCTTTGTACCTCAAGGTCATATTATTCACATCACTCACAAGAGACCCACCTGTACGGGGGGACTTGAAACTGAAGTCACCCGTGTTAGCAGCCCAGCCACCCTTCGCTGTTCCCTTGCTCACGCCTGCACCTGACAGAATCCTAGGTTTGCTTCCCAGACAAACCCAGGCAGTTCCTGTCTCTGCTTCCCAGATGTGCCTGACTCTCAGAGTGGACGGCATCCCAGAAGCAGACTCCTTGCCAGATGAGCTAAGGACCTTCGCGCACGGGGCTGATCTGCCCGAGAGCTTTTGCTACTTCCTGCTGGAGAGGCCCAGTGCTAGCCTCTTCCTCCCTCAGACACATCTACGGGCCTTCATCCACAACTGTCAACACTGGCTGGCCACAGGAATTTGGAAAGCCAACCAGCATCATTTAAACCTAAACAGAACGGCTGGACAGTGTCACAGGGTCCGTCCGGCTCAGGGAGGGTGATCCGCTCTGCCATCTTCACTCCCTGGGGAGGCCGGAACCTAGCGACCGCTTTTCCTCCGAAGTGCGACGAGGCCACTCCCTCTCCTGTCCTCTCACATGCAGCTCCACACCTCCAAGGCGGGCTCAGGCCACTCCCCAGGCTGTCGATAGCTGTATTCCCGCGAGACAGAGTCACACGGCACACTCCTCACAGCCTCCCAGCTCCTCCACTCCGAACTTCCGCCTGCCCTTTAGATCTGTTTTCCTGACAACTGTGCCCAACTGCTCGCTCTTATTAGTACATCTACAAAGCACTCGTTTCCCGGGGAAGTGTTCACTTTACCTACATTTCCTGAAATCAGCTGATAAATGCCTTCCTCCTTCTTTAATCCTTTTACTGTAATTTGTTAGGTCTTACAAAGGAATAAGCCTAATGCATCTTCAGATTACACCACAGGAAACAGAAAAGTGTGCTGTGCCACCACCCTGACGTGGAAGTCAGCACACCCCCAGCTCGGGGGAGAGAAGAAGGAACGAAGGAAGGAAGCACAGGAAGCACGCTGCCTGCTACTGTAACTGCAGACAGGGCTACAGGGGCTGGCGTCGAGACACAGCAGGTAAAGCCCTCACCCGCAACGCCAGCGTCCCATACGGGTGCTGGTCTGTGTCCGGCCGCTCCACTTCTGATGCAGCTCCCTGCTAATGCACCTGGGAGAGCACCGGCAGATGGCCAAGTGCTTAGGTCCATGCCTACCATGTGGGAGACCCAGATGAAGCTCCTGACTTCTGGATTTGGCCTGGCCCAGTGCTGGCCATTGTTGCCATCTGGGGAGTAAACCAGCAGATGGAAGAGCTCTCTCTCTGATATTCAAAATAAATAAGTAAAAAATCTTAAAAAATAAATAAGTTAATGCTAAGGGATGCAGAGCGCCCTGCTCGGTTTCCTTTCCAGCCTTAGCGTGCTCTGTTCGGCTTGTCTTAGTTCTGCAGTCATTTACGCGCAGGCCCGTTTGAGCTGCAGACAGGCACTGGGCATTAAGATGCCTGCATCCCACTCTAGCGCGCCTGCATCTGACTCCCGGCTCCCGCCAGTTCCCTGCTGAGGTGGACCAGGGTGGTGGCAGCAAGTGACTGGGTCCCCAGCTCCCAGTTCTGCCCCAGCCCGGCCCCAGCTGTGCAGGTATCTTGGGGAGGAAATGAGTGAATGGGAGCTCTCTTAAATTAACCTTTAAAAATGAATGCTTTCAGGCCTAAACATAAGACACTGATACTGACTACTTTTAGTACGCTTAGTAGAAAACTGTGAAAGAAAATGATGGTCACGTGGGCAAGGAGTCACATCCTGGTCTTGTACAGACCCACTCAAAAGCAGCAAACAGAGACACACGACTGAAATCCCGCGTCAGCGTAGCCCTAGTAGCGACAAGGACTCAAGCCCGTCCGTCCGCGGAGGCGGGCGGCACCAGCCTTACTTCTTGATCACAAAGCGAATCCTTTCCTTCGCGAGCAGTATCCTCTCCAGGCGAGGGATTCCGTATGTAGACGGTCTTCGAAAAGGAATCCCCTCAGGAAGCCCTTCTACATAAAGGTCTTCAACGTGGGACTGGAAAAGAGGGTATGGGATCGTCACCGGGCCTTTGGCTTTTATAGCTTGAGCTTGAAGGACAGAAGAGAAAGGGATCACCGTTAAGACAAGGCATTAGGCACAGTGTGCAGAACAGAACGACGGCACGCGCACTGCTCTCTAACCTTTGCCGTGCCAGCTCTACTAGCACTGCTATAACGGAATCAGAAGACAGACTGGCCACGGCGTGACCCGGTAATCTCAGGCAGCGTGGACACTAGGAAGCCAGCCGACGTCAGTGAATGCATACAGCACACGATGCGAGAGGAGTGGGAGTGTAAAACCACAAACATTCGTGTAACTGATACTGGACTTAACTGAAGGGCTATTTTTGCCAAATAACAAAAGCAGAAGATTGTCCTTAACTGCAAAATGTTCTGACACTATTTGCCAAAAGTAAACTAATGTAATGGTCACACAAAGTGCAAAGCACGGAGAGTGACAATAACTAAGCACACTGGTGGCCTCCCACTGGAACAACACTATTTTTTGTTGGTATTTTGTGAACAACCTGTTTGCCAAACATTAACATCTGTACTAAAGTTTCTTGTTAAAAAAAAAAAATACTTCTTTATTTGAAAGGCAGAGAGAGACAGACAGACAGGTGTCTTTCATGTGCCTGAAAAAGCTGGGGCCGGGCCAGGCCAAAGCCAAGGGCCAGGAAATCCACCTACGTCTGCCATATGGGTGTCAGTAAGTACCTGGGTATCCAACTGCCTTCCTGGGTACATGAGCAGGAAGCTGGGTCAGAAGTAGAGAAGCCAGGACTTGAACTGGCGCTCCAGTATGGATGCAGATGTCCCAAACGGTGCCTCAACCTGCTATGCCACAGTGCCTGTTCCTTTACTAAAGTTCCAAGTGTACCATATTACACGGTAATACTGAATGAAGCGATTTGAAGCTCTATCCTAAGACACTAGCTCTGAATACACTTACAATCACAACAAAAGTCTAAAATATAACCTTTGCTTTATTTTATTTAGGAAAATTGGTGGAACAGACCATTCTTACTCAGAACAGTACGAAATTAAGAATGAAACGAGAGACAGCAAGCACAGGCTGGGAGCCTGCGAGGCACACCACCATCCCGCACGCCTCTCAGTTCTCACACGAGGAATCAGAGAGCCATGGTGCGCAGAAAGGCTGCGAAGCCTGAGCTCCCACCACTGCGCCACAGCGTGGCCACGGAGAACACATCGGCTGCCTTTTGCTTGGAAATGGCCTCATCAAACGCACAAGCCAAAAACAGAAAAGCTACTGAAAAACTGGAGATGCCAGTCAACTGAAGGCTGCATAAAGAAATTATAGGACACGTCCAGTGTGGAACACTACACAGTGGTAAAGAAAAAAAATGAAATCCGGTCATTTACAACAAAATGGATGAATCTGGAAAACATCATACTTAGTGAAATAAGCCAGTCCCAAAGGGACAAATACCATGTGTTCTCCTTGACCTGTGATAACTAACAGAGTACTTAAAACATAATCTGTAGAAGTGAAATTGACACTTTGAGAAGCAATGACTTTGGAATAGCCCTTTGTCTTGACTGTTGAAGAACTGTTTTTTTTTGTTTTGTTTTTTTTTTGTTTTTAATATACTATTTGTTGAACTCATTACATAACAGAGTTAAACATATGTGTACAAAGTCAATTGAAAACAGGTCTCAGTAAAAAAATAAGAGTGGAAATAAGAGAGAGAGGAGGAGGAGGGGTGGGAGTATGGGTGGGAGGGCAGGCATGGTGGGAAGAATCACCATGTTCCTAAAGTTGTAATTATGAAGTGTTTTTAGTTTGTAACTGTAAAGCTGTATTGTTCTGCAATACAGACTTACTTCTAAGGGTATAGTTTGAAAACTTGCCATGGGACCCCAAAATCTCGTTAGGGTGGGTGGTAAAAATGCCATCATAAGTGTTAAAGTGATCATATGGATAGGATTGAGTGTCTGGTAAGAATAATAGATAGATGTAAGAAGGAGTGAATGCTCCAACATGGGAAGCAGCCCACACAGCAGACTCATAGAGTGACAGTCAATTTAAATAGCACTCTGACCTCAGAATCAGCCCTTAAGGCATTCTGGTCTGACTGAAAAGCCCACAATAGCATTTCAGGCATGGAAAGCCAAGACACTGTGGCAAAAAAAATGTCCTACATGAAGGACCTTGGTGGAAAGAAGTGGACATCAAAGAAGGGAGGTACTTTTCTCTGAAAGGAGGAGAGAACTTCCACTTTGTTTATGGCCTTGTCTAAATACTGACAGAGTTTGTGGATTCAAAAGGCTTCCATAGCCTAGGCAGCTCATGTCAGAGCCTCAGGTGATCACTGACATCATACATAAGAGTCTTAATTGTTAAATTAACAAGAGTCACTGTGCACAACTTTTCACGCAGGACCTTTCCCCTCAAAGGGTTGTATTATAATTATGTCTAAGTGCTCCCAAAAATGTATCATTCTTTGGTGCTCCTTTAGAGTTAATTAAGTTCCTTAAAAAAAAAAAGTGAAATTAACTTCAAGGTGCAATGGCTTTGAACAGCCCTTGTCTCGACTACTGAACAGTTTTTGTTGTTGTTGTTTATGTTTTTTTCAAGCACTTTGTTGAACTCTACTTAGTACAAAGTTTGTCTTCTGTGTATAAAGTTAATTGAAAATGGATCTTAGTGGAGAATGGGACTGGGGATGGGAGAGGAAGGAGGAGGGGGGGGGGGTGGGAGGGCAGGTATGGTGGGAAGAATCACTGTATTCCTAAGGTACTTATGAGATACATGAGGTTTGTATTCTTTAAATAAAAGGTTTCTTTGGGGGGAAACATTATGAGAAACTTAAGGAAATAACGGAAAATATTATTTAGTAGTAATTTAATCTAGACTTTCATGGAGAGCTAGGTTATTACCTATGATAAAGAAACACAGGTTCAGGTTTATTAACATAAATAATGTCAATAAGGTTAACCATGCTAACAACATCACCTAAAGAAACCCAGGCGTGGCTGTGTAAGTTGCCACTTAGGGTACCTGCACCCCACACTGGAGTGCCTGTGACCCAGCCCCAGTCCCAGCTCCGCCTCGCCTCCAGCTGGCCTGCTGAAGGCACCCTGGGTGGCAGCAGGTGGGCCTTGACACACCTGTGGGAGACCTGGACTGAGTTCCTGCTGCCTGGCTTTGGCCTGCTCTGCTCTTGCTGCAAGCACTGGGGGAAGTGAATCAGTGGAAGGAAGATCTCTCTGTATTTCTCTGCCATTCAAATAAATAAAATATATAAAAATTGTAACAAAGAAAATTCAGTGACACAGGAAAGCACTACAATAGACTGTTCAAGTTAAAATGCTGTGTAGCATACAATTTTATAGATTATCAGTTAACTGCAAAGACGAGTCATCCAAACAAAAAACAAGCAAAACAGACGCTGTTTTTCGTGACTGCTGCTATTTTTAGGTGCCCACTTGATAAACAAATTGCTTATTACTGTTTCAGCTAGGAGAAAATTGGAAAATAAAACGGCAAACAAGAATGCTGGATTTAACACAGATTAAGAGAAACCATTATTTCAGAAATTAATCTTTAATTAAATCTCTAAGGTCCAGGACCCTGCAGTCAGTATGCAAATACCCGTGCAAGTCTGCATGCTGGGAATTTAGTTCCAGACCCTGTGAAGAGTGAGGGAGAGGCCAAGGGAAGGTACAGGTCACGGGCAGGGCTGGGCTCGGGGGCTCGGGCCGCCCGTGGGGAACGGCACTCTACTGTGTAAACATCATCAACAAAGGACAAGAATCTTTCAGCACAGACGTACCATATTTTCTTTCAAACAACTCTTCGACTTGTTTACGCAGATCAGTAATTCGAGCATTCCATTTCTCTGAAAATTAAAGCAAAGTCAATTCTCAGTAATAAATCCCTATTGGGGGACAACAGGATGTTCTTTGGAAGATCCCAATATCTAAAGAATCATTTTTCACATTACAGATCCAAATATTTCATTGTCCATCTCAATCTACATAATTTTACTGCTTTCCTAATAAGAGCTTTTGTTTGTGGTTCTAAGAATTACTTAGTTTATGCTCAAAACACTTCCTACTGACCCCTCTGTGTAGTGTCCCCTTTCTGAAAAGCGGGAGTGCAGAAAAGCCCAGTCAGGGAGAGAAAGAGGGGCCCGCAGGGGCCACAGGGCCTCCACCAAATCATCTCAGTTGTGGCGAAGTAAGACTGCACAAGTGGCTGCAATCTGTAGCCGAGTGGCAACGAACAGCCACACAGCGAGTAGCTTACACCTAGTAATGTGACAGAAATGGGGTACAATAGTAAGTGAATGCTTTAAAAATGTCTACAAGTGTTCTATGCATTCCAAATACGGATAACACACATAACTTCCCTCTAATACTCTATTTAGTGTACTCCAAGGGATCCATCGTCAACTGGGAAACAATCAGTGAAAGTCACAAAGCAAACAAGAACACCGGGCTGGGACACAGTTCTTAAACAAAGGGAGTCTTAGTTCAGAGAAATAATGGAACCACCAAGTCGTTAACACTAGCTCAGTCTCTACCGGACGTAAGAAACCTCAGAAGAGACAACGGCTTGTTGCTTTGGTAAAACCAAGCTGTCTAAACGCTGCCCGTGACGCGGCTTCCAAGCCCGCTTTCCAGAGAGGTCACCCTGCAGCCTTCCCCTGCAAAGGCCATCTTAGCCGTAATCAAGAATGGGAGAGTTGGAAGAAAAGGAAGCAAGGTGTCGGCGCTTACCGAAGTTGAACTCCCTCACTTTCCGCTTCCCCGCGTTGGCAGGCTCTGGGGCTGGCGGCTGGGGCGGCTCGCTGCTCTTCGGTCTCTTGGTGGGTGGAGAATAATCGTCATCTTGAAAAGGAAAACTCTCGTTAGGGAGGAACAGCCTGGATGAGCTCCAGCCACAGCCCGTCCAGTGTGCAACACTCGAAGGAGCCGCCGCGGCCCGCGAGCCGTGAGGCCCAGCGGCCCTGCTGCACGGCCACTCTCGGCGCGCTTTCTCCCAGCTACATCTGCGACTTCCCTGCTCTCAGCACGGGCTCAAGCGTACCCTGCGCATTTTCTTTTGTCTTGCTTCAATGTCTGTGTATCTCAACTGCCACTAGCATCTTCCCTTCTGGATAACTTTCAAGTAGCCGCTTAAAATTTTACTTAAAATTTTCCAAAAACAAGTGTTAATGGACACCATCACCTAAAATTACAGTAAAACGTGAATGGAAAAATCTTTAGGCATATACAAATTCAAGCACATAAATGAAGGAGACTGGCAACTGCACGTCCAGTACCTGTCACAAATGCACAACTGTAGGATTACTTTAATCATTCAGATGAGGGGCTACCCTACTCATCAAGCACTTGAGGACTCAGGGTGTGGAGAACTCACGTCTACCAGCTACACGAGCACAGGGCACCGACTGATCCAGACACTGTGGCCTGCCCTGCCATCCTCTTTTTGGATGTATCTGCAATGCAACCCTGCTATGCTCCTTCAACACACCAAATGCTAGAATTATGGACATGTGGGTCAAATAGCAAAATCTTGGCTGGCGCTGGTGCACAGTGGGTTAAGCCTGCATTACACAGGGGCACTGGTCAAGTCCTGGCTGCTCCACTACCAATCCAGCTCCCTAATACACCTGGGAAAGCGGCAGAGGGCGGCCCAAGTACTTGAACCCCTGCACCCATGTGTGAGACCCAGATGAAGCTCTTGGCTTTAGCCCAGCTCTAGCCATTGCGGCCATCTGGGGAGTGAACCAACGGATGGAAGATCTAACTCTTTCAAATAAATAAAACAAATCTTCAATAAATACATCAATATGGCATGGACACGAAAAATAATTAGTGTTAAGGACAACAGGGATGACAAAAGACCATTCAAACACAGTAAGCCATGGATTCAGACAGATAGAATTGTTAGTCTCCTCCTAGAGCCGAACAAACAGGCTCCAAGGATGTTATGGGATGGGACTTGTCACATCACTAGATGGTGCCGCTGAGGTTAGACTTGCCAGAACAGACAACGTTGCCAGGGGCAACCCAGCGTCTCCACCAGTCCCTATCACAGGAGCAGAACACAGCGGCATGCTTCTGCCCCGGCTCTCTGCTATTGGGACAAAGCACCCTGAAATTACTTACTGGGACAACAGCACCAAGATCACCAACATACGGGTGTGCTTGCAAAGACAAGGCTGCTTTTATAGGGGACCCTACTATTTCAGGAAAAGACCATCAAATTAACAACGTTTCAACGTGGCAAAAACCTGGATGTGCTGAGTGCCACTACAGAAAACCATTTCAAATCTGGGGGTGGGAATCCCATAAATTAAAAATAACAAGCTCCCTGTAGCATAGGAATATACTGCCTGGGTTTACAATTATGAAACTATACTATACCACAAGGATTAGAATGGTCACAAAGCCCTATAAATTGAGGTTCCAACCTTAGCAGAGACATTTTGGAACACACTGGGAATCATTCTTAGGTTTGGGCCACAGTTCTGAAAATACACCTCTCAATATCCCATTGGCTGGCGCCGCGGCTCACTAGGCTAATCCTCCGCCTTGCGGCGCCAGCACACCGGGTTCTAGTCCCGGTCGGGGCGCCAGATTCTGTCCCAGTTGCCCCTCTTCCAGGCCAGCTCTCTGCTGTGGCCAGGGAGTGCAGTGGAGGATGGCCCAAGTGCTTGGGCCCTGCACCCCATGGGAGACCAGGATAAGTACCTGGCTCCTGCCATCGGATCAGCGCGGTGCGCCGGCTGCAGCGTGCTGGCTGCAGCAGCCATTGGAGGGTGAACCAACGGCAAAGGAAGACCTTTCTCTCTGTCTGTCTCTCTCACTGTCCACTCTGCCTGTCAAAAAAAAAAAAAAAAAAAAAAAAATCCCATTTTCCAACTTTCAAACAGATTCTAGGCACTCTAAGGAATGTGTGTGCTGCTATCCCAAGTGTACAACAACACGTACTCTCTTCCCTGTGAACACTCACAGAGGTTTATGAATGCTGAATACTACTGTTTCTTTGCAGATATTAAACAACGGACGCTAAAGCCAAAGTCTTTTCCTGGTAGGTGAATGTGGCCTAAAAACCCCTGTAGTCACTGAGCACTGCTGATTTATGAGTATCCAATGAGAAGGGAGGCCCAGCTGCGGGCTGTAACGCAGAAGACAGAATACAGAGACTCAGCTACACGGCTCGGGACTGAGCAAAGGGGAGGCGGCAAGGCAGCTCTTCCCGAGTGCCGCGGCCTGGCTGCGGCAGTCAATCCAGGCTGTGTGTAAAATAACAAAGTCCATGAAACACGACAGGTCTAGCTGATACCACATTTTCTCTCCAGTGACCAATAACAAAGTCCAATCTATTAAATATGAATACAAAGATGAATTTAGTTATATGATAAAATATCACCTTACATGTTCTATTAAAATCACGGTCCATTTTGTGAATTAGTCTCTTGACTAACTTTGGCTGTTTTCATGCATGTGGAGCACGGAACTAAGCAGTACTTAGTTCTAAGTACTTAGTTCTTAGTACTAAGCAGTACTTAGTACACGTAACTAAGCTACGTACTTAATCATAAAGTAAGATTTTCTCTCCAATAAACCTTTGATCTAAAAAAAGTTATATTGGTTTTGAGAACGTACAGGGAGCTACGTGAACTCTAGACCCCAAATCCTTTCCACACAGAATCGAATTCGTTGCCGTCTTTGGAGCATAAAACTCAACCAAAGCTCCAGGGTTGCCCTCGGTGAGGGCTGGTATTGCAGGGCCATGGCAAAACAACAGGCAAAGCCTGCTCTTCCCTTCGTCCATTGGTGCCAACAGAAGCCTCCCTGCCTTGGAAACAATCAGCAGCTGCCCACTTAGAAAAAGGCTTCCCAGTGTGCAACGGTTACAGAGAGAAGACCTCAGAGCTGACGTTCCTCATTGCTGCAGCCCCCACCCCCAACACGGGAAGGCTAAGTCACAGTGTTTTCAACACTACTCTAATTCTTACCACAAACTGTCGATATGTTATCAGATAATTTATCCCTATTCAAAGTTAAAATAAAAAAACATCAAAACCAGGCACTGTTATCTATTGGTATTAGAACTGTTCCTCATTCTATACATAATTTCAAATAAAAGGGTCTCACTTTCCACTCATAGATCCAATACGTAACTCCTCTAAAATTCCTAACTTTACATTAACAACTGGATTATGTTCTTTAAGTGACCATCAGCAGCTATAAAAACTAAAAATACAAAGTTCCAAGTGCTAACCTGTGAATTACACAGATTCTACAAACTCTACAGTAATGCAGTACACACGCTGTGTGTGGTAACGTGAACCAACTGTATGTGAAAATTTTATGTCTAGCACAATGTAGGAGAAAATTAAAAATTTCACATATAGTTCACCTAGGAAGACACAAAACCGCTCAGAAAACACATTTATGTAAAATCTGTTTCAGAAAAACACCAGATTATGGAATGGGCAGAGGGCTGGGCCCCGGCACAGTGAGCGCGGGTGCGTCCTTGGGCTTGGGAAACAGCGCCCCGAGAGGGAAACGCAGGAGGAGGACGCTCCCTGCATCGGCACCCAGGACACATCGCCAGCAATTCTCAGATGGGAATTTCTCTGCCCTTAGCAAAGCGGGCGTATCCGACCACACTGCCATTTAACCCACTCATGCAGTTGGGACACAGAAGAGATGGAGGCCTGCAGTCGAATTATTCCAAGGCCTATTTCCCAAACCAAGGCATCCAAGTTTCAAACATGAACAGCGACTTCGAGTACAAACGGAGGTCACAAGGGAAGCACCACCTCGGCACACGCCATCAGCAAATAGCTGACAGCATTGTGTCCAGATAAACATGTCAAGGCCACGCCACCCTCTCCATAACTCCATGTCATTTCAAATGAAGAAACCCAGGCGGAAACACTGGGAAATCTGACCTGCTGCTGACAGCAGTTCTTGTTTGTTTTCTTCTACAGTCTGGGAACTGCACAACATTTAACAGTAAGAATAAGATCACCCCCAGGGCAGCAGGCTATATTACTGTCTGCCATTCTTCCAAGCACAGGTATTTTCTACACAACACGAAGATCACAATCTTCAAGTGTTCTTTAACTTCTAAAACTGCCGTGTTCATGAGAGGCAGGGCCCTTGTTTTCCCTTGTAACTACACGTATTGCATGAGGGAGCTCTTTCCCCCACAGATCAATGCCTTCAGAGAAGATTACCAGCTTTCCAATCCCTGTGTATTTTCCATTAAGAGAATAAACCAAAACTTAACTTGCTAACTGTGGATCCTTAAATGGCCTCTACCATCCTGCACTGATCTTTCCAGAAAGAACAAGCACGCACTACCAACCAGGTGAGCAGGTAAGCTCTCACCTGACCTTTCAGTGTGAACACCTGATAAACGTTACCTGCTTCACGTGCTGCAACGTGGCTGACACAGCTTGCGAGCCTTACCTCACACCAGAGCTCTGTGCGTGTGCATGCACCAGGGAGACCCTGCAGTCCACCCCGGCACTCGGACCTGGCACCTCCCTGGCCTCCTGGACACAGAACGCAAGCCTCTGTGGCCACATGTACTACCCGCTCACACGTTTGGACAGTCAGTCAGGCTTACAGGGCCACGTCTTAAGAAATGAGACTGTCACCCCCTACACAAAGAGCTGAAGTTGAAAATACTGACCCATGCTTCAAACTGATGAGCCATTGGTCTCCTGGTTTTCATGGTATCTCTTTAAAGGTCTCATACTCCGTGTGTTTGCCCTCTAACTTTAATACAGCCTTCATATCAGCTTTAAGATAGGTAAGTCCAGTTCTATCTCAAAGTTCAGTCTTATAATTTTGATAACTATTTTATTGTCTGTAGAAAGGACAAAATTTGGAGTATTTTAATATTTATATATTCTTAAAATGTTATCCTCTCATAGTAAATAAGGTGTCAAACTAAGTAATTGAATTTCAATCATTTAATGCTAGACAATAAACAATTTAAAATGGCTTTTAGGTTAGCACAATCATGTTAATGAGAGATCTAGATTTCGCTGCGGTTAACACCCAAGCATGAGCAGTTTTCACATCCGGTGAAAGCAGCAATGAGGGCAGTCTGCAAGCAGCTGCGCGTCCCAGACGAGGAGGTGACACCAGCAGGGGACGGAGGGCTCGGCCCTGCGGCAGTGGGAAGGAGGAGGAAAAACGAACACAAGGCACCAGCCGCGTGGCTGTGCAGGTGGAAGCGGGGGGGCAGAACCGGTGGCATGTGGGATTTTCGTTTTCAGAACGTGCCTTACAATGAACACTGAAAGCACTGGGGTGTTCCTGTAAAAATACAGAGGCAGGGGCTGCCGCTGTGGCCGGGCTTTCAGCAGCCACCTGTGGTTTATGGGAGCCCTGGCCGTCGCAGCCATTAGGGGAGTGAACCAGTGGCGGGGAGACCTCTCTCTCTGTCTCGGTCTTTCATTCTGACTTTTAAATAAGTAAATAATGCTTTTTAAAAAATAAGCAGGAATACAGCTCTACACGGGTATGTGTACACAGAGAAAGCAACCTCTACAGGTAGAGGCCATCCCCTAGCCTGAGCATGGTGCGGGGAGGCCGGGGAGGCCCCGTGGTGCAGCCCAGGGGCGGGAAAGAAGTCCCCGGAGGGGAGCCGCCCAGAGAGGAGGCTTGTGAGGTGTTCAAGGGCAAACAACTGACACACACTGACATAGTTATGAAACGGAAGAGGGGGTACTGTCAGGAACCTCACCAGCTGAAATCTACAAGAACCGCAGTATGCAGGACAAACTCACTCGTCTGCAGCCATCTTTTTCTTTAAGAAAACACTAGCTTTGAAGCCACATTAGCTATGGAGATTATTTTGGGAAACACTTGTAGCCACAGCTTCAAAATCGTTCGGAAAGATAAATCATATGCTAGCTTCTAAGCAGCATTTTAAGCAGGGGGGTAAACTTGCTTCAAAATTTATCAACACTTTCTAGTTCTAAACTAACAACACTTTCTCTTCCACTTTACCTAACCAGAAATGAGACGCTCCAGCTGCACTGGGTCTCTTCTCTCACAACCGAACAGGCTCTGAACTCTTCTGTGTGCATTTCAAGTCTGGTCAGAGCTTTCTTTTCATTTCCCATTGACACAGCGTGGAGCTGGGCCTACCTGCAGGCCACCACCATGAATGCTCACAGCTTAATTCTGTTGCGGAAAAGTCCCCAAGCACTGGGAGCACTGGGGGGGAGGGGGGCTGCTCTGGTCCCACGCACACACACACATTTCGGTTCTCTGCACGAGTCTCCTCTAACAGTGGATGAAATGCACACTTGGCGATGTGAACGTGACAAGTCCTTCTACGACCAGAAGTGAACTTTTGGAATCCAGGCTTTCGGGTAACTAACCTTCAATAGTCACCTCAACTTCGGGGTCCTCACTTGTTTCTGAAGGGACATGTTGAGTAGAATCTTGAAAAAAATAAAATTCTAAAATGACATTCATTATTCAGCATTTTCCCCGCTTATGTTCCAACATTTTACTGATGTGAACTCCAAAAGCAGCCTACTACAAAATTTAATTGGCATTTTAACTTCATTTCATATTAAATTAAAATATTTGACCCTTTTAATTACACACAGGGGTAAAAGAAAACAAAATAGAAAAACTCCATGAAAAACTGTTAGATAACAAGTTACCTGCATTAATGGACTCAAAACCCCATCTCCTTAGAGGAATGAGATGATTACAAATCCGTAATCCTTTTCCTGCTCTAACTAGAAAATGCTAGAATAAAAGCAAAAGCTTCCTACTGTAGATACCACTTCTCCTCTGCTATAGGGCCTGGGAGTGGTGTGTGCTGTTAAATAAAACCACAGTGGAGATGGCCACACCACCAGAGTGCATGTGCAAATGCGCCCCCGGCTTGATAACCACCTAAAAGGACAGACTTCATTAATACTGTCGTCGTCACTATGCAGATGTGTGCTGGGATGTTAGTGCCGGAGGCTCAGCTAGAGAGAATTTCCATTAGCTCTCTATCATTTCACAAAGGTTGGGAGATTAATTGATCTGCCAAAGATTATGCTTACTTGTTAGTAGCGGAACAAAGACCAGAACCCAGGTTCAATTCAACTGTAGTATGACAATAAAAATTTCCTCAAAAACAGCGTCTTTCCACATTCATGTCCGACGCAGAGCTAGAAAACCCTGAGGCAGCCTGTGTTGCCTGAGGAGCCCTGCTCGTGGGTCTCTGCCGTTACAAACCCCACCTCCCCCAAACTGGAGGCCCTGTCACAGACGAAGGACCTAACAAAACCCACTCACACCACCTGCTGTGAGGAGAGCTGGCAAAGACAATGCAGCTTACAGTTCAAGACTAGTGCAGTAAGGCTTCGCAGGGGACTGGACTCCAGTAGAAGCCCCACTCCTGTGGGTGCACCTGCAAGGGGAGCCTACACCCAGAGCTTTCAAGTGCTCCCCTTCAGAGAAGGCTAAAGCTCAACTTAACGATTTTTTAGAAATAAAATGTAAATAGCAGGACTTTGGTGGCTTTTTTTATCATAGGAAAACAAGGCACCTCATAACCAGTTTATGTGAGAAGTGATGATCCTGAAGCGGGAGTCAGCTGCCTTAGCAGGCGTTATCCCGAGAGCAATCCATCACTCCCGCGCACTATTACACGCAGGAGCAAGCCACACTGCACAGCAGTCTACCCAGGAGGCTCAAAGCTCAGAACCGAGCCACAGCTGAACGCCCAACCCTACATGCCTCGTGGAGCTAGAAACTGCCAAAGGAGTTCAAGAGCAGGTGTGGGTACAAAACCAGAAAAAACTGACATTTCATCTCAACTAAAAGACTGGGACCACTAAATATTATCCTTTAAAAAGAACATGAACGGAGCCAGTAATAACTTCAGTTCTAAAATATTGTGGCTATTCTTCCTTAAAAGGTTTCTAATATGTCAAACCCACAAAGAAAAAAAAAAAAAAGCCTATTTTGTGCCATGGAGAACTTGATATCCCACTTCCTCCTCACCCTGCCTGCTCCACTCCGTCAGCACAGCAAGAGGCAGGATACATCTTGGAGCTCTAAAAAACAAAAACCTGCAGGCTGAAACGGCATACAAAAACAACCACTTCTTGATTTCCAAATAAAGTATTTCTAAACACTGCACTCTTTAAACTAGAGCATAAAATAAAAATGGTAAAATAAAACCTCCCCCTTTGTTCCTAACCTTCTGCTGGTACTTCCATTTCTGTTCCTTCGTTGCCCTCTGAAGAATGATGGCTTCCTAAAAAGAAAATACAAAAACGTATAATAAACCAGTAACAACTTACATCGAAAGAAGAAAGAGAAACTAGGTAACAATGCACACAATTTAAGACATAACAAACATATATCAAATGAGTTTTTAAAACTCTCTAGTAATTAAACAGTGTTTTCTAATTCAGAAAAATATGTAACACTTCTATTTGGAAGGAAAAAAAACTTATTTAAGAATGCAAATATACAGAATAAACCTAAGTAGATGGGGGATTTCATATTAGTTACTGTAACTACATGATACAATGATGATGTTGGAATCTGAGAAAACACACTATGTTTCAAGAACCATGCTTGTCTGTCAATGACTCACACACAAAAACAAATCAGAGTGAATTCTTGCTTTGCTCACAGACTTCATAAAGTCCTGATGAACAAGTGCAGGGTTTGCTGCTCAATGTTTCCTGCTTTCCATCTGCACTATGGTGGAAGCTATGGAAACTCAATCCCCATCATTTAACCAAAGTTGCACTTAAAGGAAACTCAAGAGTTAAAATTTAAGATACTACCTTTAGTCTCAAAAGCATTTTAATTCAGGTAATATAATCTGCCTGCTTCTAAACACTGGAACATAAAGCAATGCATCAGGTTAGGCAGTCACAAGGTAAACAGGCTCATCTACTAGAGCAGAGCTTCATTCACAAACAGGAGAGAGAGAACCTAAAACATCAGGGAGCCACTTAGGATTCAGTGCCCAAGCTGCCCCCAAATACACAACCTCTGTCCTTAATGCCTGAGCTACAAACACAAAAAAGGCTGGAAAATGCTGCCTTCCGGAGTCAATTAAAACACACTGCCCAGCAGTGAAAAATCCCCTGGAGGAAAAGGAAGCCGACTCTAACCTGTTCTGCCCACTGTTAGCTGCGTTCTGGGGCTTACTAAAGGCAAGGCCTAAGTTACAGTTTATCCTGGTTCTTCAAGAGCATTGATTACACTCTCAAAAACCGTCCCTCAGCATCTGGTGTCCTGGAGTTAGAAGTGGCATTCCAAGGTCAAACAGTTCTGGCTTTCAGATCTAGCTTTCCTGCCAGCGGTATCTCGGGATTCTTCTCTTCCTTTACATTGTGAAAACTCACCTCAACTCAAAACTCTAGGCCAATCTATACCCATCAATCGATCTGCAATTAACACGTAGGATATGCTTTCTCTATACACACTCCTCCCCTTAACGTTTGAATTTAGGGAACGCAAAGTTCTCGGACTGTAAAGTTGAAGCAAACAGACACGAGGTCCGAGAGAAACGAGGTGAAAAGGCTGGCAGCCAAAGGAGCAGTGAGGAAACAGCAGCGACCGCTCCGGGGTTGCCCCCATCAGCAACGACGCTGCACACCCTTGCTGCTTAGTGTCAGGAACAGTAGGCCTGAACAACCACCTACTGCACTCGAAACTACAACAGGGAGAGGTAAAAGCCTATGAGTTTGCCAACACAATACAAAAATTGAAAAAAAAAAAAAAAGTCATCAATCACTCAATTTAGGGATTCACAAGTGACATTTCACAATCTTTCTACAAACGGAGTAGCAGCATGACCTTATCAATATTTACATTACCAACTACACAGTAATAACCTTACTTCTGACTATTCTGATATAAGGTATAAATGTGTACTTTACCTTAAATATGAAAGTGTGTCATGTACCCATTTCGAGATTCATTACTAGATTCACAAAAGGGAAAATTGGTTTTGAAAAATTGTTGCTTGTGAAGTTCATTTATATGTTTAAAAAAGGCCAATACATTTCTTTTTCCTTTTCCATTTGGAAAAGTACTAATATAGTTATAAATATTAAAAGACAGTCTGGGCAAACATTATACACGAGCAGGACGTGGGAGAATGGAAGTGAAAAGGTTATACCTTGCAAAGACTTCGAAAGGGGGAGTTTCTCATCAACACCATCAGTTTCAGAAGGGCCTGCTTTGGAATACAAAGATAGCAATTCAAAAGTAATCCCCCCAAAATACTGTGGGTCACTTTTGTAAATGAATTTGGGTGAGATTTATGGAATGATAGCCTCTGTGTAAACAAAAAAGGCAAAACCAAACCAAACTAAAAAATGACTGACAGATGAGTGGTGTTAACGGACGGGCGGGGTGGATGGAGACCGGCGCCCACATGGAAACAGGAGCAGTGTGAAAGGTGAGCATGGGCGTGAAATGGGAACGGGACGTCAGAACAGTGCAGGATGGACTTTCCCACAGTAAGAGGCTGGTAGAGCACGCTGCGGCTCTGACTTCTAACACATTACAACCGCACGTTTATTGTGGCGGTATCTGCTTCATCCCTTGTCATACTGAAGGAAAAGCCAAACATTTACACCTTCCTTTAAGAATCTCAACTGGTGTAGACCAGCAGTGAGCCCACATCCTTACTGGAGCAGATGCGATAAACTACAAAGTACCAACTCAGAATTAAACCTTCACAAAATGTCATGGAAATTCTAACTCATTTGCATGTATCATCAAGTTTTTTAGAGATTAAAGTAACACATTTGAAACAAAAATTGAAACACTGTGCTTTCAGTGGCTACATTGTAATATAAAAGTTATTCTTGCCTTAATATGAACACAAATCAGTTCACTCTCTTTGAACGTGATTTTGAAAACATTCTATGACATCTGGAAGGCTCCACTGATATGTAAGAAAATTTAAAGATGTACCTAACTACACACTGCAAGCAAAGGACATACATAAAAAAATTACATGAAAAATACAAAAATGTTTGTATTTGGAATTCAATAAAGAACACCTCTCTGACCGCACTCCTGAATTAAAAGGTAGATCCGTGGCCGGTGCTGTGGCACAGCAGGTGAGGCCACCACCCGCAGTGCCAGCATCCCCTACGGGCACTGTTGGAGTCCTGGCTGCTCTGCTCCATACCCAGCTTCCTGCTATGGCCTAGGAAAAGCAATGGACCTAACTGCTTGGGGCCCTGCACCCTGCACCGGGGGAGACCCGGATGAAGCTCCTGGCTTCAGCCTAGCCCTGCCCTGGCTGCTGCAGCCATTTGGAGAGTAAACCAGTGGATGGAAGATCCAGCTCTCCTTCTCTAACTTATAAATAATAAATACTTAAATCTTTAAAACAAAGGGGGAGGCAGCACTGTAGCATAGAAGCTTAGGCCTCCACCAGCGGTGCCGGCATCTCCTGTGGGTACAGGGTCCAGTCCTGGCTGCTCTACTTCTGATCCAGCTCTCTGCTGGTGGGCCTAGGAAAACAGTGGAGGATGCATGAGCCATGGAGGAAACTCCTAGCTCTTGGCTTCAGACAGGCCTGGCCCCTTCCCTTGTGGCCATTTGGGGAGTGAACCAGTAGGTGAAGGATCTGGATCTGGATCTGGATCTCTCTCTCTCCCCTTTTCTATCTCTGCCTTTCAAATAGATAAATAAATCTTTTAAAAAAATTAACCATTAACCATCAGTACTTCACAGTACTGCCCCAGCTACATTCCTGAAAGAAAAAGAGGATTTGTTAAAGGAATCCACTTACAGGAAACAAAAAGACCAAACGGATCGAGTTGTTCCTGCGAGGAGCGGGCCCAGAAGGGAGCACAGGGGAGGAATGGCCAGGATGCTGGCAACAGACCTTCACATGCAGAAGTCAAGATGGACCAGGGTGACAGGAGGCGGCCGCCAAGCCAAGCGGGCACAGCGCACCCGCACCCCCTGACACGGGGCGCAGATTGCAAACACATGGAGAGACTCCTCTGCACCATAAAACAGACCTTAACAAACACAGAGTACAGGAAATAAAATAAAGACTGTCCTTGTGGCCGGCGCCACGGCTCACTAGGCTAATCCTCTGCCTTGCGGTACCGGCACACCGGGTTCTAGTCCCGGTCGGGGCGCCGGATTCTGTCCCGGTTGCCCCTCTTCCAGGCCAGCTCTCTGCTGTGGCCAGGGAGTGCAGTGGAGGATGGCCCAAGTGCTTGGGCCCTGCACCCCATGGGAGACCAGGAGAAGCACCTGGCTCCTGCCATCGGATCAGCACGGTGCACCAGCCGCAGCGGCCATTGGAGGGTGAACCAACGGCAAAGGAAGACCTTTCTCTCTGTCTCTCTTTCTCTCTCACTGTCCACTCTGCCTGTCAAAAAAAAAAAAAAAAAAAAAAGAGAGAGAGAGAGATTGTCCTTGCAACTTAATGGCAATAAATCAGAAATCCACAGACAGAAATCAGAACAATCTCCTTACACGTAGACACTAAACTATATTCTTCTAATAAACCACAGGACAAAGCAAATCAAAGGGAAATTGGAAAATATTCTGGGGCCAGTGTAGCCGCCACCTGCGAGGCCAGCATCCTGTATGGGCGCCAGTTGGAGTCCCGACTGCTTCCACTTCTGCTCCAGCTCCCTGCTAATGGCCTGGGAAAGTGGTGTTAGATAATCCTAGTGCCTGGGCCCCTGCCACCCACGTGGGAGGCCCAGGTGGAGATCCAGGCTCCTGTGTTCAGCCTGGCCCAGCTCCAGCCGTTGGGGCCATTTGGGAAGTGAACCAGCAGAAGGAAGCTCCCCCCTCTGCCTCTTGCCTCTCCCTCTCTAATTCTGCCTTTCAAATAAATGAATAAATCTTTAAAAAAAAAAAAAAAAAAAAAGGAAAATATTCCTTGGGGCCAGCATTGTGACATAGCAGGCAAAGCTGCCACCTATGATGTCAGCATCCCACAATAAATGCTAGTTTGAATCCCGACTGCTCCACTTCTAATCCAGCTCCCTGTTTATGTGCCTGGGAAGGCAGAAGATGGCCCAAGTATTTGGATCCCTACCACCCACTTGAGAAGCCAGGGTGAAGATCCTGGCTTCTGCCTGGCCCACCCCCAGCTGTCGAGGCCATTTAGGGAGAAACCAGCAAATGGAAGCTTTCCCTGTTTCTCCCTCTCTCTGTCAACCCACCTTGTAAATAACTGAATCTTTTGAAAAAAAAATTTTAATGTGAAATGAATAAAAAACAAAGGCAAAGAGAAGTGGGTAGCATGTGGCTTCAGTAGTTCTCTAGGAAAAATGTATGGCCTGCAAAATGGTAATATTAGACAAGAAGATCTGAAACTAACGGTTTAGGCTTCCATCTTAAGAAACCTAAAACACAAACAAAACTGAGGCCAGCACAAGTAACAAAATAACTAAAGTTGGTTCTTTGAGGAGGAAAAAACCATTTTGAGAAGCCCAGTTAAGCCAATACCACATAGAAGCGGTATCAGTCCCCACAGGAGGACTAGGGGGCGCCTAGTGGCATTTTTAGCATTCCTAAGACACAAACTGCCAAAGCTCACTCAAGAACAAATGTGCACCTGCCTATGTCAGTGTCTACTAAAGTTCTTTAAATGGCATGGGTTTTTAAAAAACTTTTCATTAAAGAAACATCAAGGCCCAAATGGTTTCACTGGTAAATTTCACCAAGCGGAAGAAAAGGATAACGACCTTATCAAACAGCTGATTCAGTGAGACAGCCTTACCAAAACCAAATAAAAGCGCTTTTATACACACACACACACACACTAACTGGCTATTATCTCTTATGAACACAAATCTGCAAACTCTGAGTAACGTGTTAGCAAAATCAAACCCACCAATATATAAAAGGAATAACACATCACAATCAAGTGAGATTTAACCCAAGAATACAAGGCTGGCTTACACATATGAAGAAAACCTCTATCTGAAAAGGTTCAGAAACAGCCACTCACAAAATTCAACATCCGAGCACCACCAACATTCTCAAGGAAATACAAACGCAGAAAACTTCCTCACTCTGCGCAAGGGCGTCAGACTGCGCGAGCCGCTGCCGACTCTGTGGGGAGGGAAGAAGGCCCGCTCCTATGCATCACCAGGCGCCTAGGCAGCATGCGAACACGAGAAACAGACATTCCAGACAGGGAGCTACGGAAGACACCAAAGTGCTTCTATTCACTTATCTACATAAGAAAATCCCAAGGACTTCTGCCAAAGCGAAACCACCAGCAAGAAAATGCAGCTGGATCAGAAGACACCGCCAGCAGCCACACAACCTGTGTATCAGGAACGAACGAGATGTGACTCTTACAGAGTGCACACACGCCCGGGAGACTGAACAACAAAGCACCGATGAAGGACCCTGCGGGGGAGCTGATCGTACAGACACACGCCCGAGCCGTGAGCGCCATGAGCGCCGTGAGCGCCGTGAGCGCCGTGAGCGCCGGGAGCACCGGGAGCACGCGCCGGAAGCCTTCTTATAGAGATACTCATCGCTAACGCATCTGCAAATGGAGCACAACCATAAAAACCCCCACAGGCTTCCTTGAACGAACTGAAAAGTTAATTTCTCAAACTTATATGAAAAAGGAAAGGAGTCAGAACAGATGAAAATAACTTTGTAAAAGATCAATGCTGAAGGACACTCGTAATCTTACTCTAAGAACTACAAATGTGCTGCATTCAAGACAGCGTAACATGGGCACAGGGACAGACACACAGACCAGTGCCATGGGATATGCTCCAGCAACTGACAGGGACACAAAGGTATCGAATGGGGGGACAACCCATGCAACGTACAGTGCTTGGGAACCTGGGTGAGCACTCGCAGAGCTCTGAACTCAGCATCTTGCACACCACACAAAAATTAGCTCAAGATTGATCACAGATCTAAAAGTAAAACTAGGAAAGCTCTACAAAGCATCAAAGAAAATCATTATCATTTGGGTCAGGTAAAGATTTCTTACACGTGACAACTAAGTACCATGCATAAGAAACAAGAAATAAGACTTCGTCAAGGTAAACTACTTACAAATCCTATCACAGAGGGCCTTTACTAAGACGGCATAAAGAACTGCCAAAATCAGATTAACAAAAATACCCAGAATGCACTGTCCAGCCTCCATTTTCTTCAACTGCACTGAGGAGACTGTCATCTCAAGCAATCAGACCCTCTACAAACACTGGATTTCCAGCTCTTGCTGCCTGGGGCATCACCCTGAATCACTCACCGTTCGCAATATGGCGGGAGGAGCTTCTAGAAGCAAGGGTGCTAACCACACTGATGCTAATGAGGATGGTTCCAAAGACAAGAGGTTTTTCTAAGAATTAAACACAGCCTATATTTTATCAAATGGCACTTACTACCTTTACGTACAAATACTAGTAAGTGCATAAAGGCTAAATATTGTCCAATGATTTAAAAATCCTGAAATGCTCCAGAACGGATAACCCTGATAACTGAAAATCCCTGTGACTACTAGGCAAATGCAACTGAAAACCACAGAGGAATCAAAGCACACCCACTCAAGTGGCAGCAGTTTGCAGTAAGCCAGGGCACGCAGGCGTTGACAAGGACATGGCACAATGAGAACTCTCTTACCATCGCTGACTAACATGTGAAATGGTACTGAACACTCTTCAATTCCACCACAGATCCCGCTATTCCAGTTCTAGGCATCTACTTGAGGGCAATGAACGCGGATGCCCACACAAAACCTTACACACCAGCTTTATTCGGGGTGGTCCCAGACAGCTGGCAACAGAGGAGAACCAGACTGCAGTGCAGGCGTACCCTGGAGTCATGCTGCAAGGCAGAACGGCGTCGCCCACCGGTGCAGGCAACACGAGCAGTGAATCCAGAAACAACTCTGTGGAATGAGGAGGGCACACTGCTTCCCTGCCCCAGGAACACAGTACACGCTTTATAAACAACGTGAGCTCGTCTAGCCTCCCGGGAGCCGACCAGCAGCTGCCTGAGGCCTGCAAAGACACACAGGGAACCAGGAACAGTGGGTATTTCATTCATTTGCTTAAGTGAAGATGGTGTTACCGGTATGACAAAACTAAGCCAATATCCAGCTTCCAATGGTCCCTGTACTGTAATTATGTGTCAACAGGAAAAATGAGCTGACCACGCAACATGGAAAATGTTCTAAACTCAAACCCACCAACGCACAGAGCTTACTGTGCTGTGAGATTATAATCCTTCCTAGTTACCAAGCGAAAGAAAATGGAACCCAGTGATAGATAAAGCTGAATGTCATCCCTGCCTTTACACTGCATAGACTGGAAGATGACGCCGGCTGCAGGGAGCCATCACTGCCGCAGAGAGGTGTGAAGGCTCAGAAGACCTCACGGGCTTCGCAAATTAACACTGAAAGCAAAGGCGAGACTGAGCCGCAATTTCTGCTTATACTTTTAACCAAATTCATGGCATAAAGAACGTTTAGAATACAACATTATTGTTAAAAGTAAGAACTGACTCCCTTATTCTGACATGGAATGTCTTGAAATAAATTCAATGTAGAGAAACTCAAGGCAACATAGGGGAAAACGTTAATGGCTCCCTTACATTTTCCCTGCACACTAACTTACTGCTCATTTTTTGACATCTTTTACTCCACGGATGAATTACAAATATATGTATCAATCAAGGACTAATAAATAAAATACTCAAGCAATTGACAAAACTTAAACTTCAACGACCAGGAAGTTTTGGAAAGAAAAAACAGTCTTACCTTGAATGTTATACTGATAGTAATCAGGGTCTTCTGATTCTTCCTTTACTGTCACAGCTGCCATTTCCAGGGAAATGCCTGTGGTAAGCAAACGAACTTCTGTAACTGCGTGTCTGTGCGGCACAGCCCTCTGTCCTCCCAACAGTGTAGAGCATGCCTGGATATTCGGAATGCTCTGAAAGAACAAGATGCTCGTAAGTAGCAGGAGGGCAATCACCAAAGCTTGAACCACTGTTACCATGGGAGGGGGAGGGCGTTCGGCAAGGCTTCAACACGGCATCTGGGATGCCTGGGTCCCTGGGCTGCAGCCCCGCCTCCACGTCGGACTCCACCTTCCTTCTAGTGCACGTTCTGGGAGGCAGGCTCCAGCACCCGGGTCCCCGCCACCCACCGGGGAGACCCAGGCTGAATTCCCAGCTTCCGGCCGCAGCCTGGCCTACCCTGGCTGTTAAGGTGTTTGGGGCGTGAGCCAGCGTCTGCGGAGGCAGACAGTGTCCCGGCTTAAGGCAGGAACAGGGTGTGACAGGAAGAGCTACCTGGAACTGAAGAATTAACCCCGGGAGGCTAGGTGTGGAGAGCAAGTCCGCGGGTTAACTGCAGGAGGACACGGGGTGGGAGAACCCCACTCTTCGGGAGTTTCATCTCGGGACAACCAGGTTCCCTCAGGCTTCCGACAAAGGGAGAAGAGGAACCATTTTCAGATGAGCCAGTGGCCAGGCCCACCCTAAGGAGACATCATCTCCCCAGAGCCCAATCCAGCCACGCCTGGCCACAGACCGCCCTTTGGACAGCTCTTCAGGAAAGCAGCTGCAGCAAGCCCCTCAGGCTCCAGCACAGTCAAGTTTACCCTTTCAGGGGCAGCGGCCAAGTCCTGCAGCCACTTAACCAAACCTCAGTCACAAACTTAGTAACTTTACAGCTAGTCAACAATGCTTATATATTCAATTTTTCTGTTCAAATAACTGTATGGTTTCTGTTCTCACTGGACCTTGTTGCACTCAAGCAATGGGGCTGGCACACTGTGGCATGGTGCCCCTGTGGTACAGGTTGAGATACCAGTTCGAGTCATTGCTGCTTCCTCTTCTGATCCAGCTCCCTGCTAATGCACCTGGGAAAGCAGTGGACGACGGCCCAAGTGCTTGGGCTCCTGTACCCACGTGGAGACCCAGAAGAAGCTCCTGGCTCCTGGCTGTGGCCTGGCCCAGCTCCGGCTGCTGCAGCCCTCCAGGAAGCGAACCACTGATGGGGAGATCTTTGTCTTTTTTTTCTTTCTTTCTTTCTTTTTTTTTTTTTTTTTGACAGGCAGAGTGGACAGTGAGAGAGAGAGACAGAGAGAGGTTTTCCTTTGCCGTTGGTTCACCCTCCAATGGCCGCTGCGGCTGGCGCACCGCGCTGATCCGATGGCAGGAGCCAGGTACAAATACTGGTCTCCTATGGGGTGCAGGGCCCAAGCACTTGGGCCATCTTCCACTGCATTCCCTGGCCACAGCAGAGAGCTGGCCTGGAAGAGGGGCTACCAGGACACAATCTGGCGCCCCGACAGGGACTAGAACCCGGTGTGCCAGCACCACAGGCGGAGGATTAGCCTAGTGAGCCATGGCACTGGCCTGTCTTTCAAATAACTATATTTTTAATAGATGTAAAGTATAAAGTAAAAACCTCAGCCTATATGATGATGATACACATATAAACAGTTAAAAAGAACTCAACAAAACTTACGATTTCTCTCAATTCAGCATGTTTACTTTTAGATAAACTATTCAGGGAGTGAATATGAATAATAAGAAAAATTTAGAAAATGATGACCTTTGGTGCGATTCATTAAATCCAAACATAAAAAAGACTTCTTAAGAAAACAAAGTGAAACCCTGGGGCCAGAGCTGTGGCACAGCTAGTTCAGCTGCCACATCTGATGCTGGCATCCCCTATCGGAGTGACATCTGGGGTCCCAGCTGCTCCTTTCCACCCAGGTTCCTACTCATGCGCCTAGGAGATAGCAGATGATAGCCCTAGCATTAGGGTCCCTGCAACCCGCCCCTGGCTGCTGTGGCCATTTAGAGAATGAACCAATGGATGAAAGCTCTTTCAAATAAATAGTCTTAAAAAAAAGAAGAGGGGCTGGCACTGCGTGTAGCAGGTTAAGGCCACTGCCTGAAGTGTCAGCATCCCACATGGGCGCTGGTTCAAGTCCTGGCTGCCTGTCTTCCAATCCAACTCTGCTACTGCCTGGCAAAGCAGAAGATGGCTCATGTCTTTGGGCCACTGCACCCACGTGGGAGACCCAGAAGAAGCTCCTGGCTACAGACTGACCCAGCTCCAGCCATTGTCACCATTTGTGGAGGAACCAGCGGATGGAAGACCTCTGTCTCTCCCTTTCGCTCTCTGTCTCTTCCTTTCTCTGTAGTTCTGCCTCTCAAATAAATAAATAAATGTTCAAAAAGAATTTAAAAAAAGAAAAATACTGTAAACCAAAGAGTAAAAGATTCAAATACTTTTTCCCCAAGAAGGGCAATTCAATAACCTTACAGATCTCCTTTAAAAAAAAAAAAAAACCCTTAGGGCCAGCACTGTGGCGCAGCAGATTAAAGCCCTGGCCTGAAGCGCTGGCTTCCCATATGGGCGCCGAATTGAGTCCCGGCTGCTCCATTTCCTATCCAGCTCTCTGCTATGGCCTAGGAAAGCAGAAGATGGCCCAGGTCCTTGGGCCCCTGCATCCATGTGGGAGACCCGGAAGAAGCTCCTGGCTCCTAGCTTCAGAACGGCACAGCTCCAGCCGTCGCCGCCAATTGAGGAGTGAACCATTGGATGGAAGCCCTCTCTCTCCCTCTCCTCTCTCTGTGTAACTCTGACTTTCAAATAAATAAATCAATCTTTAAAAAATAAATAAAAAACCCTCCCCTTATTTCTAACATAAAAGTAATCTCTCAGGACAGACATGATGGCATCAAAGGGTTAAGCCCCATCTGCAACACCCGCATCCCATTTGGGTTGTCCCGGCTGCTCCATTTCCCATCCAGCTCCCTGCTAATGCACCTGGGAAAGCAGCAGAGATGGCCCAAGTGCTAGGGCCCCTACACCCACGTAAGAGATGCAGATGAAGTTCCTAACCTGGCCTGGTCCAGCCCCAGCTACTGTGGCCATCTGGAGGGCGAACCAGTAGCTGGATGATCTCTTTCTGTCCCCCCCTCTCTGTAACTCTACCTTTCAAATAAATTGAGTAAATCTTAAAAAAAACTCACACATAAACACACTGCCACACACAGAAATATTAACACAGAATTCCCCCACCTTTATTTCCTTATTATATATTTGAAAGGCAGAGGGAGAGACAGATCTTTCATCCGCTGGTTCACCCCCCAAGATGGCCACCTACAGCTGGGGCTGGGGCTGGGCCAGGCCAAAGTAAGGAGTTTCATCCAGGAATCCCAGATGGGTGCAGGGGCCCAAACACTTTGGGCCATCTCTGCTGCTTTCCCAGACAGGAGCAGGGAGCTGGATCAGAAGTGGAGCAGCCAGGACCTGAACCAGGGCCCACGTGGGATGCCGGTCACAGGCAATGGCTTTACCCTTTACACTGCCACATTGGCCCGAGCCTGTCCCCCACCGACAATTCATTCCAAATCCATTTGATGAGGCCAGACAAGCTAGGCAGCTATCCGCAGAGGCTTGGCAGAATGAGGACAATGTCAAGTCTGCCTGTGGAGGCTTGGCGTGGAATCTGGGAGACAGGCAGACCAGGAGCAGCAGGACTGCTGTGGTCAGCATAAGGCAGGATGTGGCGATGGGATATGGTTTGAATACAGGGGAAACGATTAAAAATGCACCGACAGTATCTGGGTGTCTGAATTCCATGACAGAAGGGAACTGTAAAGATAGAAGGGAGAGAAAAAAACAAAACCCGCGGTACTAAGAATGGAACTGGGGGCAGGTATCTGGCCTAGCACCGCAGCCAAGACCCAAGCTGGGACACCCACATCCCACATCTAAGTAGCTCGGTCCCAGGCCCCAGGCCCAGCTTCCTGCTAACGCCTACCAGGTTGCGGCTCAAGTGCTTCCATCCTGCCACCCACGTGGGAGATTGCTTCAGCCCAGCCCAGTCCCAGATGCTGTGGACACATGAGGAGTAAACCAGCAGATGGGAGATCTTTACCTCTAATAAGTAAGAATAACTGAATGTTTCATTTATCTATTTGTCTATTTGAAAGGCACAGTGAGAGAGTGAGAAAGCAAGAGAGTGAGAGCACAAGATATTCTCTCCCCAAGTGCCTGGAACACCAGGGCTGGGCCAGGCCAAAGACAGGAGACAGAAATTCCATCCACGTCTCCCATGTGGGTGGCAGGGACCAAAGTACTTGAGCCATCATCTGCTGCCTATAAGGACGCATTCATTAGCGAGACTCAAACTGGCACTCTGACATGGGATGCAGACAGCCCAAGCAGTGGCTTCACCTGCTACAATGCCCACAGCAACACTGGCATAAACTTGTAGCCTTAGACACACAGCAAGTGCATAAATAGATACAAATGTGAATGTGTATACGTTAATTATTTTCCTTAACTTGGTAACTGTATTACAGTTATAAAGAGAAGACCCTAATTTGAAAGAAATACATATTACAGTACTTAAAAGGTGACAATAGGAATCATATTGGCAACTTACTGTCAAAACATTCGCTGCATTGTACATACAGGTTTTTCAATTAACTAGTAACTGTTTCAAACTGTAACATATGTAAGAATACAAACTGGGGGAGCCGGTGGGTTAAGCCGCCACCTGCAGTGCTGGCATCCCATGTGGGCGCCGGTTCTAGTCCTAGATGCTCCACTTCAGATCCAGCTCTCTGCTATGACCCAAGTCCTTGGGCCCCTGCACTAGCTGAGACCCGAAAGAAGCTCCTGGCTCCTGGCTTCAGGTTGGCCCAGCTCCGGCCATTGTGGCCATTTGGGGAGTGAACCAGCGGATGGAAGATCGATCTCCCTCCCTCCCTCCCTCCCTCCCTCCCTCTCTCTCTCTCTAGCTCTGCCTTTCAAATAAGTAAATCTTAAAAAATAATAGTAATAAAAACTGGACTGGCATT